ATACGAACGCGTTAAATTTAAATTTTAATAATAATTATGTTTTTACAAGCTTAATAGATCGATAAAAATTTATAGGGTAATTTTCAAAAAGTTTTCTCGCCCATAAATTTTTATTTATGTGTGATAATTTTATCGATATGATTCAATACGATTTAAACATCTGTTTCGAATAAAAAAATAATTAAAACAAATTGGGTGGTCATCACTGTCACAAATATTGACAAATCAATTTTTAATTAGAAGAATTTCACGACATTCGAATCATTTACGTCGATTTCAAACATAAACAATGATAAAATCTACTGATTTTACGCACTGGATTTCTAAGAAAAAGCTTTCTATAGAAACAAAGCAATAACAATCAATTAAGCCAAGGTAATAATTATTCGTGAACCAGAAGATCTTATTCGCCAATAATTCATATGATTCAGAAAAACTTTCCTATAGATTTTATCGCCCAGAATTTCACTCTCTGGTGCCCAAAGAAAGTAACAGTTGCATCACAATGCACTTAATAATTATGTTCAACAGGGCAGCATTTTTTTCCTTTCAACTTTGTTTAATTATTAATTAATTAATTAATAATACAATATTTACTTCTGAATTAAATATAAGGTATCTTTATGTAAGTTTCAAATATTGTCTATTCTTTTTTTAACTTTTACTCAACTTTAAAGGTATATATGACCATGTTTATTTCAAAAGGTAAAGAGTGGAATCCACTCTTTACCTTTTAAAATAAACATGGTCATTATTAGGGTGGGTTGAAAACAAAATGTTGGTTTTATTTTCTTAGAAAAAAAAAATTTTCAAAAGAAAAAAAATTTTTACTCAACATCTTGAGGTGGCCCACTCGTTTAAATATATACGGGAAAACAATGGGGAAAAAACTTTTTCAACTTTTGACTTCCAATTGGCTTTTAAGGGGACACCCTACAGATTCTAGAACAAAAAAAAATCCCGTTGGAATACCCCATTTGATTAAAAATATTTATTTAAAAACCGAGTGGGCCACCTCAAGATGTTGAGTAAAAAATTTTTTTTTGAAACAAAAATTTTCATTTTTTAAAGGTACAAATTCTACCCCCATGCTAAGAAAAAAAAACAAACATTTTGTTTTCAACCCACCCTAGTCATTATATCCTAACCCTTAAAGTCGAGCAAAACTTAAAAAAGAATAGACAATATTTGAAACAATTATTGCTTAACTTAACCTGAAAAAATGATATTGGTTTATAGCATTATCTTTATTACATAACTTTTACAATGTTTCAAATAACTATCTACCTATAAATATAATATACGGACATTTTATGGCTATATTAGCTAGTCTGTTTAACCAAAAATTTTATTCGTACCTATAATCTAGAGCTAAAATATACAAAATTGTTTTTATGTGATTCTTCGGCCAACCTAATATCACTCAAAAATCTAAAATTCAATACATAATACTACACACGTAAATATAATTATGTAATAATTATTACATACACATACATTTGGTGGTTAATTCTATCAGATTCCACTAATTTCATAATTCCAAACCAAATATTAACAAGAAACAATCTTCCAAAATTTCGGACACTGAGTGGGGGATATTTTTAAGAATAGGCCAGTTGTACCAATATTTACTAATCTTGGAATAAATATAATTATATTTATATCCAGTATAGTTTTATATCTTTAAGAACAGAATAGAGGGAATTTTTCAAAACTGGGTCTAATCGATTGGTAATCTTAAATTAGGAATAAGATTATTTCATTTAAAGTCTTTGTTAACATTTAACAGGCAAGAATAAGATCTGCTTGTTTAAAGAAAGATTAATATTTAGTTTAATGTTAGTTTTAGCCCTGACAATATTAGGTCAATCATCTTGTTTCAACTGTACTTGATTTTAAGCTAAGAAATAAAATCTTTTTAATTTAAGGATATGTTAATATTTAAAAGAAATGTAATGTATTCGTAGCCTAAGCAAATTATACTTAAATCAAGTGAATTTTTTTAAGAACAAAGGTATTCTATCATTTTTTTATATTAAAATAACCACACAACGTGTATGTCATTGTATTAGCAAAAATAAAGTGAAACTGATCGTCACAATGCAATTTCTTGAAAAAAAAACGCAACATCATTATAGAAAGTACGAAATTTTCGTAGCGTTACGGAAAAAGAGCTGGCAAGTAATCCCTTGACCCTCGCTAAATCAACAACTTTCCTATTGTCATCCTAGTGGAAAGATATATATAAAGTTTTTCGTGCGCAAAATTATTGTTTCACTTGGATGAGTTTTTGTGTACAATTTAGACGAATGAAATTATTATCTTGGAAATGGACAAAAATAAATAACTGCGCGTGGGTGCGGCCGCAGAGAGAATTATTTCTTATTCTGATTTATTTTCTAATATTGTCACAAAGACTTATTTATTGGTGGTATTTATTTAAATTTGTTTATTAGACTGCGATTAAAAAACCGTTTCATAACACCTTATTATCTATTATCCGCATTGTTTAAAAAATACAGACGGAAATACAGTGATTAAAATATATTAAGTATAAACAACAATAAATAACAATAATAACATTGTTTTGTATCATTGCACTGTGTTGAAGTCAACTATGTAAAAAAAATCCACCCGACTAAATTTTTTTTTTTAAGAAGTAATACGCAAAATAAATTATAATGTTTGGTTGTAATGTATTCGAGACTTGCAATTAAAATCAAGGCCGTATGAATTGCGTGTGATGGGTACACATTCTTGATTTTATATTTACCACACTTGAAAATATCTAATTTTTTTCAACTTCCTTTCAAAGAAGTGGCTGATTCATTTTGATTCGCCAGTAAATATTTTGAAGTCTCTTACAAACTTTTAGTTCTCTTTTAAAAGTTCGATGTTTAACATTGTCAAAGTGTTAATTTAAATCCATCAAAATTCTACGGTAAAATTGATGATATATTGTATTTTATAGTTTACAAGGTTTTGAAACGTGTTTTTCGAGAGAAAATCCTGGATTGAGTTTTTATCGGTTTTCCAATAAACATTGGAAATCTGAATGAAAAAATAAATTGCATACAGTAAATTGTACACATCAAACAAATAAGTCGTCTAAATTCAAACAGCGTTATGCATTATTAGCGTTGATTAAAAAAGTCTCCACTCAACAGTAAAAAAACAAAAACGGGTAATATATTATGTATTAAATATAATATTTTGTCGCCATGAATTCGTAGATATATTACTGTTTTAAAATAAAGTTTTTTAGAGCTGTTTTAAGACATATTCAAAGCAGTTTTTAAAAGACATCTTCAACAGTTTTAAAGAAATATTTTTTAAAACAGTTGAAACAGTTTTTAAAAAGTTCAAGAGCTGTTTTGACATTTTTAAGCCTCGAATATTATAATTAAAACTGTTTTAAAAAATATTTTAAAACAACTTATATTAAACTATTTAACAACATTTATTAAACTATTTTGCTAAAGGTAAAATTTGAACATTAGAATATTCTAAATAATTGTTAAAAAAATTTCAAAGCATATATTTCCTAAGCTAAAGTTCTTGACAGCGTTAAAAATATACCAGAATATTTTTTAAATAGATTTAGGTATCACATGATATTTAAAGTGCCAATAGAAATATTTATCACAATATTTTTGTTTGATAACCAAGCTGGTCCATTAAACGATACTATTTATCTCATTGGCATTGGACGGTTTTATTTTTATTAAAGATTTAAAGTTTTTAATGCTGAATTACTGGACAAGCGAGAACAAGATAAAATGGTGTGTCAATTATCAAAAATTTTTCAAGAGAACTTTATGACATGTTAAGGTTTTTTAACGCAATTTTAAGAGAGTTTCAATGGTTTAAAGCACCTTATAGTGTATATTTAAGACAGTTTTAATCTTAAAACAGTTTAAAAAGCAATTTTAAAATAATAAAAGACTGTATACGAAAGTTAATAAAGAAAGTTTTAATTCAGTTATTTATAATAAAGCTGTTTCTTAAAATTCCCTCTAAAAACAAGTTCACATTGTTTCTTGGGATGAATAAAGTATTTTTCTACTCCCACCTTTAAAACGCCCTTTATCGTACATGTTTCCATGACACTAAGTGACCTTTTAAATACACATTGACAAGTTGTGGCTTTACGGCGCTTTAGTCACGGGCTGAAGTTAGCAACAGGTTTTTAGTCACGGGCTGAAGTTAGTTTTAAGTTAGTTGATAGTTTTCAAATGTCATACAATTGTAAAAATAAATTGCCTTGTAAAATAATACTAAATGTGAAAATTATTTTATTATCTCAATACAAAAATACAAAAGTATTAAATAGTTTCTCAACGCGAATATTTGAAAAGTTTATATGAACACTGAACTGACCTTTTAATTTCGCCGGCAGTAAACTATAACTTTGGGCATGGACTACAATGTGAAGTGCTCATAAAACATTTCCTTTACTTTCACTGTGAATTTTCAAGAAATACATTTCGATTTATTACATTTATAATCTGTGTTTATAAAATATAAAAATTTTACATTTGACGGTGACACACAGATTCCCTTATTGTTTCATAGATGGCGCTCTATACAAATTTTTGATTTAAATCATTTTAAGATAATAAGTATTTGTCGTAGAAAAAGTATAGTATGCACCTCGTTTATCAAACTTGATATTATTATTATAATCTTTCAAGATTTTTTTCTGACAGTATTAAAGCTGTTTTTAGTTTTAAAGCGAGAAAAAGAAAAAAATGGTGTGTCAATTATCATTATTTCCTGTAAACAATCGTATGTTGGAAATTTAGGTCTCTAAAATGTATTTTTAGTAGTGATGACTGCCTATAAAAATATTCCAAGTATCTAAACTATCTAAAATTACCTATTGTTAGTAAACAGTTAAATATTTTATTGCGACAAAAATAAACCTTACTACCTGGATGCAGACTATGCAAACAAGCAGAAAGATAACGCTGATAGATAATGTCATTTATTTTTTGCAGAGTCCATTAGGAAGCTCGGACGTTGTGGATCATTCGTTGGCAGCCGGCGTCGACATGCGTACGAGCGTTGTGCGCGTCGCTGAGGATTACACCAAGAGGAAAAACGTCCTCAGGGTGTCCAGCGTGAAACCGTGCAGATCCGAGTTTTTGGTGCAAACCGAGGAACTGGGCGACTGGGTCACGGCTCTGCAAGAGCAGGTGGCCACCACCACGGAGGCCGAGGCCAAACTGGTAAGAAATAAAAAAAATTATAGTTTTTTTGTTTTTTGTTTTTTTTTTATGGAAAACCGGGAAATGCCAAGGAATTTATTTTTCCAGGGAAATTTTTCCAATCAGGGAATTATTACTAATTTAATTTAATACAATATATTTTATGAAAGACGAGAGGACAGCACATAAAATGGATTATCGTTACTTGAATTCTGAAATTTGAATTTTTTTATAAATAAGAGAAATGTACTTAATAAAAAAAACTTTAATATATGTGTTCTAAAGCAATTTTAAGAAAGCTTTTATATAATGTTTGCAAAAAACTTGTTCTTGGCTTGGTAAAATTATTTGTAAAATAACTCATTTTAAATAATGCATCATCATTTGGAACTTTTCTCAAAAGGATTGAGGGGGTTCCCAAATCGTAATAAATTTTTTTAGCAGCATTAAAAATGAGTTATTTTGCATATAATTTTGTTTGACCCAGAACAAGTTTTTGATGCTTGCTTCGATATCCAAGTATAGTTTATACAATTATCTAGACACTCGTTTTTTAAACACTCGCTTCGCTCACGCCTAATTAAACTCGTAACTAAAATGGCATTTATAAAACTAGATACATAATATACTATTAAGTTTTTTATCTACTCCTACATTGACGAGCTGTGACTTTATGGCGTTTTATTGACGGGCTGAAGTTAACAACAGTGGCTTTTCGACATTTTACGCCACGGGCTGAAGTTAGCTTTATTATAAATTGGGAAAAAGTGAGGTTAAATTCGGGTGACAGTTGACAGATGTCAAAATTTTAACAAATAAAATTGGCTTTAAATTCTGTTTTGTGTTCGTCGTAGATAAAGTATAGTATGCAACTCGTTTATAAACTTCTCTAGACACTCGTTTTTATTAAACACTCGCTCGCAAGCTTCGCTCGTGCTTAATTAAACTCGTAACTAAAATGGCGTTTATAAAACTTGATACATAATATACTATTAAATGTTTAATACTTTCTAATTTTTTTTTAATGTCTAATACAGTTATAAAAAGTTTTAAAACAATTTTAAGAAATGTTCAGAACTTTTATTAAGCAGGACAGACTTTTAGAGCGTTTTAATGCGATTTTTGTCAATTTTAAGACAGTTTAGTTTTTAAAGCTATTTTAAAAAGAAAGCTGTTTCTTAAAGAATTTTTAAAATTAAATATAGGTATTGACAGTGCAAACCAGATTTAAACTTTTTAGGACAGTTCTAAATTAGTTTTAAAACGGCTAAATAATAATATTAATATTTTTTTCTAAAGCACTATAAAGATTGTTTAAGTTTTTTAAATCGGTTTTAATATAATTTTTCTACTCCCACCTTTAAAACGCCCTTTATCGTACATGTTTCCATGACACTAAGTGACCTTTTAAATACACATTGACAAGTTGTGGCTTTATGGCGCTTTAGTCACGGGCTGAAGTTAGCAACATGTTTTTAGTCACGGGCTGAAGTTAGTTTTAAGTTAGTTGACAGTTGTCAAATTTCATAAAATCGTTAAAATAAAGTGCCTTGTTTGTAAAATAATACTAAATGTGAAAATTATTTTATTATCTCTATACAAAAATACAAAAGTATTAAATCTCAACGCCAATATTTGAAAAGTTTATATGAACATTGTACTGACCTCTTAATTTCGCCGGCAGTAATCTATAACTTAAATTCGGGCACGGACTCCACTGTAAAGTCCACATAAAACATTTTCTTTACTTTCACTGTGAAAAACTGACAATTTTCAAGAAATACATTTTGATTTATAACCTTTATAATCTGTGTTTATAAAATAATAAAAATGTGACATTTGACGGTGACACACAGATTCCCCTATTGTTTCATAGATGGCGCTCTATACAAATTTTTGATTTAAACCATTTTAAGATAATAATAAGTATTTGTCGTAGAAAAAGTATAGTTGCACCTCGTTTATAAACTTTTTTATACACGAATTTAATTTGGCGTTATCAAACTTGATACAAAATATACTATTAAAGCATTTGTTATTTTAAAAAGCTGTTTTGACAGTTTTAAAGTACTTTTAAGATAGTTTAATTTAGAAAGTTTCAAGACAATTTTCTGACAATATTTAAGCTGTTTTTAGGTTTAAAGGTAGTTAAAGGTAGATTTAAACCTGTTTTGGCAGTTTTAAATCGCTTTAAGACAGATTTAAAAGTTATTTTTTTACCAATTTTAAGACAATTTCTAAAGCAATTTATAAGTTCAGTTCATTTATAAGTCAGTTCTAGAGCATTTTTAAGAAATTTTAAAACTTAAATGCATGTTAAAGAGAGTTTTAGCACAATTTTAAAATAGTTTTTAAGCCATTAAACAAAAAAAGCTTTTTAAAATCGAATTCAAATAAAAAAAATGATACTTGTGTTATAAAAATAATATTTAAAAAAAACGGGGGCTTAAAAACTTATTTTTTCAATGCAACTTTGATTAGACCATATTTAGATACACATCTAAACTTTGTTAACGTAATTTTAATCATAAAATCACTTTCAGTGATTTTCTAGTTCAAAAATGCATTTTTGTGAGAAGAAAAATGAAGAAAAATTTGTGAGTGAGGGGACTGTAGTTACTAAACCTGCATTTTTCATTTTCAGAACCATCTTAATGCAAATCAGCAGGCGGTCCCTCAGACCAACCCGGCCAGCACTACCATACAAGTGCAAGGCAGCCATCTTTCGCCGCAGCTGGGCAAAAACAAGAACTCCTCGTCGAGAAACAGATCGCCGACGGGGCAATCCCCGGTGAGCAAATCTCGCAAGCCCTCGCACAACCAGGACCCGGCCACCAGCCCGAAATCGAAAACCTGGGCGGGTAGGATGCTGAAGAAGTTTCAAGGTGCCAACGCGGCCAGTTCGCCCACGGAATCCATGTCCACTTTCGGGATTCCCATAGAGAATTGCTTGTGTGGTAACAATCGGTACATACCCAAAGTGGTGGAGACTTGCACCAATATTGTGGAAGAGAAAGGTTTAAACACCATCGGGATATACAGAGTGCCTGGCAATAACGCGTCCATAACGGCCTTAACAGATGAGATCAACAGGTCGGACGATATACCGATGGAGGATACGAGGTGGAACGACGTTAATGTTGTTAGCAGTATATTGAAGTCGTACTTCAGAAAAATGCCGGACTCTCTTATAACGGTGAAGCGGTATCCCAGCTTCATCGAAGCCGACAAAATCGAAGACCCCGAGATGAGAATGATGACCTTGAGAAGGTTGGTGAAGAGTTTGCCTGCGCACAACTACGAAACCTTGAAGCACATCATAAGGCATCTAAACAAGGTCATAGAGAAAAGCGACGTCAACAAAATGGATCCGAAGAATCTGGCCATCGTTTTCGGACCGACGATAATACGCAGCGAGAGCGATTCGATGGAAAGCATGGTCAACAACATGACGAACCAATGCAAAATCGTGGAGACCCTCCTGACAGGCGCGGACTTCTTCTTCTCGGACTGCGACGATTTGGAGCATGCAATGTTGCCGCCGTTGGCGGTCCCCGACGACACCGAGTACATCGAAACCGGCAACCCCGCCTTGCTGCTGGAAAACATCGCCAAAGTGGCGACGTCCGGCGGCGGAAAGGAGAAGTTCCTCTCTTCCATCATCAGCGCCGCGCAGCGCAAGAAAAAGGCGTCCAAGCAGATGGGATCGTCGCACTCCAAGGAGGAAGTCACGACGCCCACGAGTCCCAAGTCGTTCGCGCAACAGGTTACCACCGTGGGTGGGATGAAGGAAGTCGGTTGCGCCGCGACGGCGCCCAGCAAGTTTAACTACATACCGAAACCGGTTACCGATTTTGAGGCCAGCATGAGCGCCGAAGAGAAGCTGAAGGAACGGCTCAACAAGTTTCATCGGGATACAGAGAAGTTTCTCTCTACCAGTGATGGTAAGTAATAAACTGACTTTTTTAAACTGTAGTTATTTTTATGGTATATGTAATTTAACTTTGGCAAGTTTATGTGTAGGTAAATATACTAAAGATTTTTTTTTTAATTCAAAATAAATTAAAGCTTTTCACAACATCTTATATCACTTCTGTCAAGCTTCTTTTTAGTCTTATAAAAAAGGGAAAAATAAATTTAAAGTCAATTTATAAAAATATAAGATTCAAAATAATATTCAAACCAACCAAAAAAGTTGAAATAAAAAAATGCCCTTATACATAAACAAAAAGTATTTTTAAAATACCAACTTACCTATCTATAATTAAAAACAGCAAAACAATTTTTAGGAAAAGCAAAAATATTTTTTTTAAACGTGATTATTAACATTTTTGTTTACTTGCCAAATTACTGCATTATAGGTATTTATGTCTAAAACCCACTTAAATCTTATAAGTTAAATAAAATTATTTTATGTTGCTTAAAAATAATTTATTTTTATATGAATTTAATTTAAAAATGTATAAGATTACGTCCCAATATTTTATTATGATTTTTCTATAAAAATATGGTATTTTGTGAATTTTATTTTAATTTTTTTACTAAATTTTTACAGTAAAAAACAATTTTGATATTTATAATTTTAATTTAATATTTTTTTATAAAAAACACAATTTAGATAATTTTTTTATTTAAAGCTGTTTTACACATTTTTCTACTCCCACCTTTAAAACGCCCTTTATCGTACATGTTTCCATGACACTAAGTAATCTTTTAAATACCCATTGACAAGTTGTGGCTTTATGGAGCTTTAGTCACGGGCTGAAGTTAGTTTTAAGTTAGTTAACAGTTGTCAAATGTCATACAATCGTTAAAATAAAGTGCCTTTCTTGTAAAATAAAACTAAATGTGAAAATTATTTTATTATCTCAATACAAAAATACAAAAGTATTAAATAGTTTCTCAACGCCAATATTTGAAAAGTTTATATGAACATTGTACTGACCTTTTAATTTCGCCGGCAGTAAACTATAACTTAAATTCGGGCACGGACTCCACTGTAAAGTTCTCATAAAACATTTTCTTTACTTTCACTATGAAAAACCGTCAATTTTCAAGAAATACATTTCGATTTATAACCTTTATAATTGTGTTTATAAAATGTAAAAATGTGACATTTGACAGTCTCCCCTGTTGTTTCATAGATGGCGCTCTATACAAATTTTTGATTTAAATCATTTTAAGATAATAATAAGTATTTGTCGTAGAAAAAGTATAGTATGCACCTCGTTTATAAACTTTTCTATACACTCATTAATTTAAGCCTACATAATATACTATTAAATTTCACTTTATTATATACTCATTTTTTTAAATTGATGTTATTTATTGACAGAATATGTTTTATTGTAGCGCAAAAAAACCGTATTTTTTACATTTCTATACATATAGGGAAATGTATGGAGCGTGGCCTCGCCTCCCTCCAACGCGCGACACAGTAGCTAAGCAAATAGCCTGCATCGCTAATGAGATTTTTTGCATTATTATCATTTAATTTTTAAGGTCGTCTTACCTGCTCGACCTTTCGTCATGTCGTTTATCAGACCAGCTATTGTGACGCGCGTTGGAGGGAGGCGAGGCCACGCCTAAAACATTTCCCTATATTCGGTTTTACTCTGAACGGGCTGTATACTATTAAAGCAATTTATTATAGTTATTATTATCATAAGCTAATCACGGTGCTGTTCTGAGAGGTGATTTGGACTTTCTGTGAAACCTAATTTTTTTTTATATTCTTGTTAATTAGGTCCTAACTAAAATTTTAAGAGCAAAATAAAAAAAATTTGACGGTTTGAATTGTTTTAATTGGCTGTTTATTAAAAATATTATGCACTCTTTCAATTATCCAATTAAAACTAGCGATTTAATTTAAATATTTAATATTTGCATAACTAAAAAAAAAGGTTTTTACAATTTTTTTTATATATTTTACTGTTTTGTTGCAATAAACGTTCAAACTTTTAATCTAACCTTTGACGTATACATTTATGTTCCCTTAATTAATATATCCTTAAAGGTTTCCATGAAACTTAGATATATTAAAAATTTATTTGACGTTTGAATTGTCATTTTCACTATACGTATTCTATAATTTTTGTTTAGTTTTTTAAAGTGTTTTTTATAAACAAAAATGAAAAATTGTAGTAAAAGTTACTAAGAAATTCATGAAATTTAACTAAGGACCGGTTTATTCATCTTTAGTAAAGTTTATCGGGCCGATAACTTTAATGTCTTGGCAATATCTAGTATCCAAAGAAATTATTCGTCAAATAAATCAAAAATGAATAAATCGGCCCTAAATAAAATGTGGCACCCTTAGAATTATTGTTTAATAAATGTATACTTTACATTTAACCTTAAATTAAAACTTTAAACGTGTATTACAACAAAACAGTAAAAGATATAAAAAATGTATGTATAGACCTTTTTTCAGGAAATAAACTTATCTTTCATCTGATTTAAAAAGTTATGATAATATTTAAATAAAATCGCAAGTTTTAATTGGAGAATTGAAAAATATCTTCTTATTTTTCAGATGCCCGCGTGAGAGGTGGAAACCTGAGCTCGTCGGCCTCGAACGTGAACCAAACGTCGCGCCTGTCCCTGCAACCGGCCGACATGCTGATGAAAACGCACAGCGCTTCGAACGTGTACGCGCGCATGTCCACCGCCGCCCAGGGCGCCGCCAACGTCGACCCGCAAACGAGAAACAGCTTGAACTCGAACTACCGCATGGCGGAGACGGCGCAGCTGCAGCAGCAGAGCAACGAGCAGCTGCTGAAGCGGCTGAACAACGCGAGCGTCGACTACTGCGACGGTAGGGGGCGCGTGCTGCGCAGGGGCAGCTCCGTCGAGAACGTCAACTCGAGTTCCTTGGACCTGAACGCCAACGGAGGCATGAAAAAAGTCAAGTACGAGAACGAGGTAAGCTCACTTTCCTCTAACGCGCCGCTTCTTATTAACATTTTTTTCTTTGTTGGCGTTTTTAGAGTGAGATGAATCAGAGGTCTGGATCTTTGGATTCTTTGAATAAGCAATCTGCTGATGGAGGTAAGAGTTTAAGGAAATTTATAAAAAATTGGGTGCAGTCTTAAGTTTAAGTGTACTATCAGAATATAAAATCTGTTAATAATTTATGTACCAAATTTAAGCAAAAAAAAATACGGGTCTCATCTAGGGTTTTAAAGTGTAAAAAAAAAACCGGAAAAATTGGGGAAAAACCTGTTTTTTTTTCGTTTCTTTCCCAGGCTGACTTTTTTGGGAAAAATTGATTTTTTTTTGGAAATATACACATTTGAAAAAAAGTATCAATTAACAACTTAACATTATTTTAATTTAAAAAAACCTTTATTACAAAAAAAATTAACTTAACATTGAATTAAATTAAATTGATTTAAGAAAATAAATGTAAACGTTAAATATACTGGTGGTTGGTTTTTTGCAAAAAGAAGTCCATTAAAAATATCCAACTACAAAATAATGAATGATTTATAAAGTTAAATTAAAATAATTTTATAAATCAAAGTGTGAAATGAAAGTAATTTTAATACAGCATCGAATATGTTTTTGGGTATAATTACTGAATTAAAATAAAAGAAATAATTTTTAATCATAATATCTAATCCATATTATGTATTATGATTATAATCAACGTCGGAAATTAATTTTTCAGTGTACGGATATTATCCTTAAAAGTTTGGAAATTTTTTGAAAAATTGACTTTTGCATTTTTTCGTTTTACCCACAATCCACACATCAATGTCTGTTCTATCTTGTACTAAAATACAAAAAATCACTGCTACACTGCACAGTTTAACGGCGGCCATTTTTATTGTTTAAAATTTTTGTGCTTTGGGTTTGTGCTCTGTTTATACAGATTAATAATCGTTTTAAACGTTGTGTTAATGTGCTAAGAACAACCATTTTATTCCTCTATTGTAAAAAATGAACTTTATTTTATCAGGGCTGTCATAAAACTGTCAAATGTCAATTTTAAGGTTAAATTATAACCCACAAATTAACCTTCAAATTGTCATTTGACAGCCCTGGTTGAATAAGGTATATTTATTATAAAAGAGGAGTAAAATGGTTGTCCTTAGCACTTAAAGGCCTTATTTGAGGCTTACAAGTGCCTCTGTAAGAAACACAACGTTTAAAACAATTATTAAACAGCACAAACCCAAAGCACAAGAATTGTAAACAACAAAAATGGCCGCCGTTAAACTCTGTGCAGTGTTGCAGCGATTTTTAGTATTTTTAGCATGAGATAGAACAGACCTTGTTGTGTGGATTGTGGTTTTACCCTTTTAATAAAATTTAATTATAAATTTATATATTTAATTAATAATATTATCCTTAAAAATTTGGAATTTTTTTGAAAAAATGACTTTTGTATTTTTTTGAATAGTTTAAAAAATGAAAAAGTCAATTTTTCCGTTTTTTTCGCCGGTTCAATTTTTCCGTAAATTTTAAAACCCTAGTCTCATCGATTTCGGTAGAGAAACTGTAAAAAAAATTGAAAAATAACGATTTGAGATAAAAAGACAAATTTTATATGGTCAACATTTACCCTTAAAGACATTTGCATCCAATTCCAAAGCAAAAATAAATTCAAACACCATAAACACAGTTAAATCATAGACCAATAAACTGTAGAGAGATAGAGAAAAACAAAAATTAATATTTGCAATGTTAGGGAGTCCCCTGCCCCCGGTGAGAGGTTGGCGGTCGGTGAGACCGCCGCAAACGGCACCGCAACGTCCCCCTAGAACGCGTCAATTGTACAACAGAGTTTGACTAGAGGTAGACAAAAAAATAAAAAAAAACGCTGTGCAAAAAGTTTGAACAAAACGAAACGTTAATGCTTCTAAAACGAGTTGTGTTTTTGTTGGGGAATAGGTGCTTTTGTTATAGACATGTTTTACTGTTACTATGACAAGAGTACTTCTTTATTGAATTATACAGGATTAGTAAACATTTCTTACAAATTATCCACACGATGAAATATCACGAAAATGTAAAAATATTAGAAATGCCTTTTTATGTAGAATATGTATTGCTAATTTTGTATAAGAAATATATCAAATCGTTTTTAGTTTTTTGTGCATATTAATAAAAAACACATCGGCTTGCTTACAAAAATTTGATGTGCACAGCTTTAATAAAAATGCTACTGGTTTTCTTTGTGTATTTGTGTGTTTCATTACTAAAAGGTGTCTATTTCAAATCATTACGGCAAAAAAATTTAAAAAACATTTCTATTAACATTTACAGGAAAAACAAAATGTAGAAATATGTCTAAAAATATTAAAACGGTAAAAATTTAAGAAAGCAGCTAAAATTTTTTGTCGAAAAAATTAAAATTTTAAACTTATGTTATTTTGATTGGAAAATTATTTTTGCCCTTAAAAAAAAATAATAAAAAATAACCACAATGTTTTATAAAATGACGTCAGTGCGTCATTTTTGGGACACGTGCATCCTCCATACAGAATTCAAAAGTAGTAAAAATGTTTAATTTATATTATTTTTTCTACTCCCACCTTTTAAACGCTTCAACTCACTCGTGTCTAAAATGACGTTGATCAAACTTGATACATAATATACTATTATTATTAGTTTTTTGTTTCATTAATATTTCAACAATTATTATGAACACTTTAATAGTGGAGTACTGACTAATGAAGCTGTTATGGACTTTACATTTAAACACTGTACAAAATGATAAAATATAAATTAGCAGTTTGTTATTTCTTTAATACATACAAATTTTAATGTTTAATCTGATATTTTTTATAATTTTGAAAGCTTAAAAAAGTAATAATCGTCTTCAAGCCACAAAAAACTCCCTGCTTTTTTAAATTTGTGACCTCCTTTTTCATAAATCACGAGCCGCCACTGCACCCTATACAGGGTGTCCCAGAATATGTGGGCAATCTCCCGGATTTAGATATAACACATAAAAATAATATGCAGATACCGGTCCATAACGGACCCTGGAAAGAAAATAAAAAGGATCGAAAATTTCAAAACACTCTATTTTTAACTGACAGTGACATCATTATTTTAATCGGTAAATGTCAAAAAAAATACATTGCAAAAAATTTAAAATAAATGTAAAAAACATTTTTTTTAAGTTTAAGGATTAAGCTGACTAAAAATATTATTGTTGTGCTTTTATAGTACAGGGTGTTAAAAAAATAGCATTCTTTTAGAGCTAGTCCGTCCCTGGCAAACTAAATAAGCCAAATGTGATTAAAAGTGCCCATTTTAAGGAAACTTTCTTAGTAAACAATATATTTAAAAATTATTAAATTCCACCTTGTAGTTCAAAAGTTAAAAAAAAAGAATTCCAGGGGCGTCCGTTATGGGCCAGTACCTCCGTAGGGGGGCCGTAGGAAAAAACAATATAGAAACTTGTCATATTATTTTTTTGTGCTATACCTAATCCGGGAGATGTCCCACATGTTCTGGGATACCCCCACAATCCACACAACAAGGTCTGTTCTATCTCGTACTAAAAATACAAAAAATCAATGCACCACTGCACAGTTTAACGACGGCCATTTTTGTTGTTTACAATTTTTATGCTTTGGGTTTGTGCTCTATTTATACAGATTAATAAACGTTTTAAACGTTGTGTTTCTCATAGTAAGCCTTAAAAGAGACCTTAAAGTGCTAAGAACAACCATTTTACTCCTCTATTGTAAAAAATATCCTTTATTCCATCAGGGCTGCCATAAAACTGTCAAATGTCAATTTTAAGGTTAAATTATAACCCACAAATTAACCTTTAAATTGTCATTTGACAGCCCTGATAGAATAAGGTATATTTATTATAAAAGAGGAGTAAAATGGTTGTCCTTAGCACTTAAAGGCCTTATTTGAGGCTTACAAGTGCCTCTGTAAGAAACACTACGTTTAAAACAATTATTAACAGCACAAACCCAAAGCACAAGAATTGTAAACAACAAAAATGGCCGCCGTTAAACTCTGTGCAGTGTTGCATTGATTTTTTGTATTTTTAGCATGAGATAGAACAGACTTTGTGTGGATTGTGAAAAAAACAACTTTTATTTTGTATTTTGTCTGTAAATTTTAACAATTTTTTAAATTTTTTGTGGACGTTTGAAATTGAAACACCAATAAACACATAAAATACATTTTCTTTAAATAACCCCATAGTAGGAAGTTATTTTTTGCTTTTAATGTGTTCTCATAATAACTGTACATACATAGCATCTATCTACCATTTATAAAGGGTGTCTAGATTAACAGACACTCTGTTTATTTAAAATTAAAACATCTTAACATCACATCATCATGAAAATTAGTTAAATTTGATTTGGGAGTAAGAATGTATTTTCTCTTGTAGACTCGGACCTGTTGAGAGACCTGACGAAAGCGTACGACCAAATAAAGCAGAAGCACTCTCAGCACAACCTGTTGTCCGGCCACGACCTACCGTACGCGGACGCGTCGCCGGACAAGCCTTCGGCGGACTGCGGCGGGCTGTCCGACAAGGAGAACATTCCGGGCGCGAAGGACCTGTACAAGAACCCGAGCCTGCACAAGAACCACCACTTCAAGCTGAAGGAGGTCAAGTACAAGGACAAGGAGAAGGACGAGGACACGACGGCCACCATGCAACACGTACCTGACAACGAGCGCAACCTGGCGGCGCACAACAACAAGCTGAAGCTGAAGCTGAAGCGCTCCGAGTCGCTCAACAAGCCGGAGCGGACGGCCGCGCAGCTCAGCTGCAAGCTGAAGCGGTCCGAGTCGCTGAACAAGGCCGGGGATCGCTTGAAGCGGTCCGACAGTCTGACGAAGAACGAGAAGACCGAGAGCAACAACAACAAGCGGAGGGAGCTGTCCACTGGCGGCAGGAAGTCCAAGGAGAACGCCAAGTACAAGAGGAAAAACGGGATGCCCGATAGGTCGATCAAAAGAAGGCACACTGTTGGAGGTAAGAGTCACTATAGTCACAATATATTACAGCGTTTCACGAAATATTGCAAGGGAACATGCCTTTAACCAATAATTATTAATTTATAATGGTTTCAATGAAGTGTAGCCCTTAAAGCAGATTTTATGATTTGTTGCCTTTTAAAGCACTTTTTTATAATTTTTTTGGCCCTTTCAAGAACTTTTTTTAGTCTGGACCCCATAATTATTTTCCCATAAACAATTTGTATGACTTATGGTAACGACAAATTATATAAAGCAACACAAAGTATATAAGAGTAAACAAGGTTTTATAATATCACCATTTAGTTTACGAGTTTTATAATGGTCATATACATGTACTTTACCGTTACCAGTAGGTTTATATAAGTTTTTAAAAATGTTTTATAAAGTTTGCCTGTTTTTATAAAACTTTATAGGTCTTTAATAAAACTTGTTATTAATTATTTATATGTTAAATAAGTATTTAAAAAAAAATAAGCATACTTTCGACGATAAGCTTTTTATATTTGTAATAAAAAATTAGTAGATAAGCAAATATTTAATATTTTAAAAGTGAATTAAATCCATTATAATGTTTGGCTGAATAAATTGCGCAGTAACCATTAAATTATCTATGGGAAAAATAGCGAACACTAGTTTTGAGTGGTTAGAACAAAAGTTTAATAACATCACTTAAAGTAACTACAGTTACTACAATATATTTAAGTTTCAAAATTATATAATGGCACTTTAACTTAGGTTATATAAAATTACCATAAAAGGGCTCAGTCCTTATATAAAATAAATGTAAATCAAATGTTATTACAAAAACAACCTAATTGACCAAATCAAGATATCTAACTGTTGATGTATTCTTAATAAAAATTAATACATATTTTTAAAAGCATAAAGCATAACATTTTTGTTATTACAAAATGTCCAAAAGTGGAAAAAATCAAAATTATTAAAATTTAAAATTCCAAAAAAAACTATTAATTTTTCGATAGCCACGATCTAATATAGATAAAAAACTTGTTTTTGCTTATTAAAAAAAATACAAACAGTGTAGAAAATGGATTTTTAGTTTTCGAAGAAAAAAATCATTGTGTGCTGATATGACAAGAAAAATCGCTCAATTGAAACCAAAGTTATGATCGATTGGCAAAAATAGTTTAAAATCATGAAAATTTAAAAACAATTGATAAAATTTTTCGTGTCGAATTCACGTGGAATTCCCCATATATTTATTTTAAATGGGACAAATATAAAAATATTCGATTTTAAGGTTATTTTTCTTCAACAATTATTTTTTGTTAGATTTCTTAAAAATGTGCGAACTTAAATAAATATTTTATTATTCTGCACCAACAACTATACGTACAGTATTGGATCCTTTGGCAAAACATGAAAATACAACGATTTAGTTCTTGAATTTTATTTAAAATTAAAAACACAATTCACTATGATCACTTAGATAAATTACACACAGTAACGTTACTATATAAACATATTATATGTATTATATTATAATTTCCTTGATAACATAGAAATTAATACCGGCGATAGTACAAAATTTTTAGTTGTTCATATTGATAAAAATATAAACTTTAAACCTCATTGTGAGCAACTTATAAAAAAAATTAAATCAATTATATGTATCTTTCTTTCATAATTTAAAAGTTGTTTTATCGAAAAATCAATAAACTTATATTACTCTCGACTTAAGCCCCGTCCCTTTTTTCAAAGAACAATTAATATTTTGTATGTATCCGCCAACTATTATTAGTTTTATTGTGTTTTTGTTTTCTTCTTTTTGTATTTTAATGTATTAAGCAAACTTGTGCTTTCTTTGATTTTGACTTGTCCAACACAATTTAATATTATATTATTAGAAAAAAAAATAAACTAAGCTGTGCAATTAAACATAACTTGAGGAGTAAGATTTCTGCCTTTCTTTTTTTTGTAAAAAAGTACTTATTTATTTAAAAATGTATTGTGGAATTCACAAAATGTGTGTTCGATGGACCACCAGATGCTTCTTTAGCGTATATTAAAGAAAGTAACATCGTCGTCTTTATTTGCAGGTACCAAAGACCCCGACAAGGTGACCTACTTCCACGACAACAAGTGTCAAGAGGAAGAATCGTCGACGGTGGAATCCTCGAAGGAGAGATCGACAAACCTGCGCACTAGCTCCCCGGACCTGAGCTCGACGCGGCGCGAACGCCTGTGCCTGGAAATCAACCTGGTGGGCGGGCCCGAGAACATGGTGGTGGCCCTCAGGCAGCACTTGGTGGGCCCGCGGCCCCAGAGCTTTCCCGACTCGGTGTTCAAGGTCCCGCTCGAATCTCACGTCTAGCAAAATTCCTCGTGCCTTAGTGGTCCAGCGGAGTTCCTCGACATTTGCGAGAAAATAATGGGGTAGTTAAATTTTTTCTGACCTATACTTTTTATGGTTTTATTCAAGGCGTTTTGTAATATTAAACGTTTCTGTGAAATCGGAATTTCAATCGAGTTTACCGTTTTCGAGATATTTACAAAAAATATAAATTTTTATGACGTCACAAACCTCGCCATGTGACCAACATTCTAAGATTTCTATTGGTTGAAAATTACCCTGATGTCAAGTTGTCTTGTTAATGATTTCATTCGGTTATGTCAGAAAATACCCGAAGAGGTTATGTACAAATACTGTCACTGTCAGTTGAGTGAAAGATGGTCACCAAATTCATTAAGTACCTATCTTCCTTATTACGAGGTATCATATTACTGTTTGATATTTCAGAGTCCAAGATATATCTAAAAGAATATAAAGAACTAGGCATTATACCAATGAAATGCATTTACGACAAAATATGATTATAATTATAGGTACTTACTTTATTTGTTTAAAAGCTCCAATGTTCAATGTAACCAACCATTCCACAAGATTCTTCTGCTTTGGAGTCCGTTATTAATAAATCATTTATCCAATATCAATTACAAATAACATTGATTTTCAATAATCTAAATTTAAAAAAAACATAACCCGAAAAAAAGAAACGTCAAAAAATCAATTCTTCTTCTCAACTAAAATTATAGATCAAGTGGTTTTAAAACTAAAATATTATAACGTGGCGCCATCTATCGTAAGAATCTACTAACTAAACACACTGGCAACCATAGAAAAAGCTGGCAACGTTGCCAATAGCCTAGTGACGTAATTAGGAGATTTTTTTTTTGTAAATATCTCGAAAACGGTAAACTCAATTGAAATTCCGATTTCACAGAAATGTTTAAAATTACAAAACGCCTTGAATAAAACCATAAAAAGTATAGGTCAGAAAAAATTTAACTACCCCATTATTATCGAACTCGCAAACTGGGCTATAAATCGTTTGGGTATGATTTTAGACTTTTTATTGATTTGACTTGACTTGTGGCCTTTTCGCCGTAACCAGTAACATCAAACTTACTTAGACTGAACGCGGATGTACCAAAATGTGCAATAATTCGACGATGTACATTGATTTTTACAAATTTGAGAAATCTTATGGTAGGTTTTAGTTAATGTTATGATTAATCTTTGAAAAAGACAGAAATGTAATTTCTTCGCGATTTTGTGCGCATTTAATAATTGTTTTATCTAATATTTTTTGTTTCTGCTTCTTTAAATGTATGTGATTCTAAAAATATTCCAGGTTCAAGCAATTTAAATTTGTGATAAAATAGATTAGGCTTTGTACATATGACATGTAATTTCTTTCAAGTAATACAAAATTAATTCTAATATCGCTTTTTTGTTTATTATTATTATTATTATTATTATTATATAATAAAGCAATTTATCATTTCTACAGTATTAGCAAAATACTGTGCCAAAATATTCTATATTAGATAATTTTAGCTATACAAACAAACCATAGCTAACATGTATATAAAAAATGTTTATTTGCTTGTGAGTTGGTGTAAAAAAAGAATGGTATGTAATTTAAAAAAAAACCTGTTTGTATCTTGCCCCCGTTATATAGTTTTAAGATGTTTTGTTGTAATTTGTAATTGTAAATATATTTTCAATTTATATGCACCTAACCAACATTTTTTATTTAAACCTTAAAAAAATCTTTGATTTAAATATTTTGAAGAAAATACCAGGTAAGTAAAAAGCATAATTTGTAGTATTTTTACTGTAATTATATTTTGTAGTATTTTTGTCCCTTTTTACTGGTTAAGGGTTAAAATCATATTTTTAAAGAAACGTCGAAAGTAAATGGTCATTTTATAGAAAATTTAAAAAGCTACAAAATTTCAACTAAAAAAATAAATTCCAACCGGTATAAAAGTATTGGCTTCCCCATATAAAATCTTACCCTTTTAATGGCCTATTAATTTATTGTAAATTACAATAAATTAATAGGCCATTAAAAGGGTAAGGTTTGTAATATACTTTTATCCGAAATCGGCAGTAAAGTAGTCAACAATCGGCAGTAAAGTAAAAGAAATCGGCAGTAAAGTATTGTATGCAACCCATTATACATTTAAAATGTGTCTACTGCTCCTCAGCAGCTACTAAATAATATTTAAAAAAAAACACCGTCGCGGATGTCGATTGGACCTTTTTATAAAATTTTGTTTAATAAAAATAATATTAATTTTATTAATTAGATTAAAAAATCGCCGCGACGGGCAAATATATAATAACAGTCGCAACAAAGAGTATACGAGGTGTGTTCATAAAATATCGGGATTTTTCGTTTTTTGAAAAAAATATTTATTTTTCGTCTACATTAATGTTGTCGCCTTCAAAATAGTCTCCATTGGATATTATGCACATGTGCCAGCTCTTCTTCCAATACTCGAAACACTTCTAAAACTCGATCTTTGGGATAGCCTTTAGTTCTTTCAGCGATGCGCTTTTAATGTCATCTATGCTTGCAAAACGACGGCCCTTTAAGGTTCTCTTTATTTTTGGGAATAGGAAAAAGTCAGACAGAGGCATGTCTGGCGAATATGGAGGCTGGGGCATCATTACAGTTTTTGGCCAAAAATGTTGTTCAAATTTAACAATTTTATAACAAATTTTGCTTTATACCCAAAACATTCGAAAAAATTTCATGGGATGAGCTAATCGATATACCAACATCATCAGCGACTTCTCTGATGGTTTTTAACCATTTCTTCCACTTTTTCCATGTTTTTATCGGTTGTTAATGCGCTTGTGCGTTCGGGGCGTTCGTCATCTTCAACGTCTTCACGGCCATCTTGGAAACTCTTATACCACTGAGTCAAACCACGTCAAGTGGGACCAGAAAATTTCACGAAATCACCGATTTTGAAAATAATCACATTATTGTGTAGTAGGCATGACTCATATGTCACAGTAAAAAAATTGTTTTAAAATTCGTTTTTTTGGTAATGTTATTAAGGTTGACAATTTTGTCAAACTTTAGAGCACGGTAAAATTGAAAAAATAGAATCTCTGGGACCACTCTGTATAATTGAATTAAATTTTACACACTATTGTAGAAATGTTTAGAGTATATAATGATGATTTAATTAAGGTTAATTTGTTTAAATAAAAGAATTTTGCATACATTTATTATAAACAATTGAAATTTTGTATGTGTTCTTCACGCTGAAAAAAAATTAATCTTGTGTCATAATATGCGGCAAACGTTTCCGTTTAATAAGATGTACTCAAAAATTTGCCTTTCATATGTCATTCCGGAGATATTAATTTTTTTGTCCGGCTGTGCGCTTGATCAGTACGCGGCGCGCTTCGCTGCTAGCTCGTCCGTTCGAACGGTTTAACGTGTGCCTGAACGAAGTTTAAGTCACATAAAAATGCCGCCAAAAACTGATTGTAGTTTCTTGTTCGGGACCCTTTGGTGACTTAAAAATGATATTTACCAAAGTTCTAGCTGCTCCTCTTTTCGAAATTGTTCGAAAATTCATGATTTTTTTTCAAATTTTTGTTTATCTCTTTGACAGAGAACACATTTGCACACGGATTTTTTTAAAATTGGAGTATATTATTTAGTAGACTTAGAGAATATTTTTTAATACTGTTCACATCATTTGATATATACAGGGTTAGCCAAAAATCACTTATTTTTAATAATACAAAAGCGTAAATTCATGATTTTAGCATAACACGCGAAAAATATTTATTCCCAATTTTTTTATAGATATTTCTAGGTCTATCAGGTTACAAAATGGCATTATTATTAACCTTTTACAAGAAAAATAGATTTGTAATAACATTTAATAAAATAACGCTTAGAGAGTATTTAAAATGTTGTTTAATTTAGGCTTTTTAGTAGTTTTCAATTTTGAACGAAAAATTGGTTGAAGTTAAAAAATATATTTACCAAAATCCAAACTGTTTTTTTTTATTTGTAAAAAATTCAATTTTTTTAAAATTATTTGTTTATAGCAAAGTCTACCTTTGCCAGAGTACACATTTCTACACCGATATTGTAAACGAGAGAAACTGTTTTTATATATATGCTTAGATTTATACAGGGTTAGACAAAAATCACTTTTTTATATAGTAAAAAGCATAATGCATAAAAAAGATTTTTCAAAAAATTTCGAAAAGAGGAGCAGCTAGGATTTTGGTAAATATCATTTTTAAGTCACCAAAGGGTCCCGAACAAGAAACTGCGGAATTTTTATGTGACTTAAACTTCGTTCAGGCACACCGTGTGCTGACGAGCTAGCAGCGAAGCGCGCCGCGTACTGATCAAGCGCACAGCGGGACAAAAAAATTAATATCTCCGGAATGACATATGAAAGGCAAATTTTTGATTACATCTTATTAAACGGAAACGTTTGCCGCATATTATGACACAAGATTAATTTTTTTTCAGCGTGAAGAACACATACAAAATTTCAATTGTTTATAATAAATGTATGCAAAATTCTTTTAATTAAACAAATTAACCTTAATTAAATGATCATTATATACTCTAAACATTTCTACAATAGTATGTAAAATTTAATTCAATTATACAGAGTGGTCCCAGAGATTCTATTTTTTCAATTTTACCGTGCTCTAAAGTTTGACAAAATTGTCAACCTTAATAACATTACCAAAAAAACGAATTTTAAAACAATTTTTTTACTGTGACATATGAGTCATGCCTACTACTCAATAATGTGATTATTTTCAAAATCGGTGATTTCGTGAAATTTTCTGGTCCCACTTGACGTGGTTTGACTCCACTTGTAAACTCTTGTTTTACTTATAGCAGACTCACTATAGGCCTTTGTTAACATTTCACAGAATTTATTTAATTTTTTAAGCAAAATTGGATACAAATTCTTTGATCCATTTCTTTTAACGAACGAAAAATCGCCGAGCTCATAAAACACGTCTAACCTTAGCGGCTGCCATAGACAAAGTAAACAATGAAAACAGCTAAAGTTTTTATCATACTTCAGGGGCATGTATACCAACATAATAAATAAAATTTTATGACAACCGGACCCTCCGAACCCGCGAAATTTAACAATTCCCGTTATTTTCTGAACACACCTCGTACGTAGACACTTCCTACATTCAAATGACATTTGATTTGATCATTAAATGACATTTGATTTAATCATCAAAATTAATTATTAGTATTATTAAATATGATTTCGGATAAAATTTAATATGCACCTCGGCATTAAAGTCATTTTTTATCACTCACGTGGTTATTTGCCTCGGCTATCGCCTCGGCACATTCCTGATAAAAAATACGACTTCACTGCCTTGATACATAAATAACTATTGCATTAGTAACCTTGTTCAATAACACTAAAAACATTAGATTTTTGTTTATTGGCACTTACATTGAAATAGTTATTTTAAACGATCTCACTAAAAGTATCATTATAAAGTGGCATTGTAATATGCGTTTTGAACAGTCGTAGTTTAACTTACAAACAAACACTGTAATTTAAATAAGGTAATTTATAATAAGAATATTTAAATTTTTTCTATTACGCATATTTTCTTCACATATCGGTTTTTAACTTTCAAATTTTAGGGGACAAATATAAAAAATCATTGAATGAGAATTATTCATTTTTATTGAATTGAAATAGAAAAGACCTTTTGTCGCATTACATTGCGACAAAATGACGTCTTATGACATTAGTTCTTCTATAATATTATTATATAAAATATATATTTTTATTAAAAAACATAAGTAAATGAATCTGTAGATTTAATATCCCCGCCATTTTTTGTAGAAAAAAAATTAGGCTAGATTTGTTTGATTATTTTTTAATTTTTGCAGTTCATGTCGTGTTTTAAAGCACTATTGAAACTATGCCTGCTACTGCTTGCGGCCTCTATCGGGGCCGAAGGAAACGTTGGTAAGTGGCTTACTATGCATATATTACATATATGTCTTCTTAAACTACCCAATTTCTAAAGATGCGTAGGAATTTTTAAAGAACTGTAAAATTCTGAAGATTTTAAAGATTTACAAAAAACTCTAAGGATGTCTAAGATTTTCAAAAGATTTTGAAGAATTTTCAAAAAAATTTGAAAGATATTAAGGATTCCCTAAGATTTACAGAAGATGAAAGATTCTAGTGATTTACAAGACTTTCAAAGGATTAAAGATTTTTTAAATAATTGTGCATTCAATATCTCAATTTTTAAAAAGATTGTCAAAATTTTAAAGATAGATCTTATAAAAATTAAAGTTCTCATATACTTGCAAGTACTTGCTATCAATCAAATCTTTAGCTAATTAAATTTAATATATTAATTAATTATATTGGTAAGTAAACTAAACTCAAGCCTATTTTTATGTGAGAAATGTAAATCATATTCCTCATTACAAAATATTTCAAATTATTAATTTTAAAGTTTAAATTGTAGCAATTAAAAATAAAGAAGAGAACCCAGTATGTATTCCAAATAACCTGAAAAGAGAACCAAGACGTGTTGCTTCATTTCCAACTCATGATTTACAAGAATTAGAAAACCAATATGTTTATGTACAGTTTAATAAAAAGTAAGTATAAACCAAAATATTATATCTAATACTTAGTTATAACTCTAGCTTATGCTTTGTTTTAAGTAAAAGGGCGAATCTCACGAAATGTCCCCCGATGGTGTTACCCTGCGATATTTAAGTTTGACCTACACTTTTATTGTGTTTTGATCTTTTATAATTAAGTAGATATTACAGCTCAGGTTCCAGATTTTAAACAGCAATTAATTATTTTTTACAATGTTTTAAAAGTCTAAAACCTATCCTCCGTGACTGTTACTCTTTCTAGGTTAACCTATATGTTTTCAAATATTTGAGGTAGTAAAAGCATACTAAAAATATCAGTTCACTAAGTAAATTAAACACATCCAAAGCAATCGAATCAAATATAAAATATTATTAAAAATTAAAAGAAATAATTTTTATAACCATTTATGTAGGTGTTTCAAAAATTGATTCTATCCTCCGTGAATCTGGTTTTGCTTTAAATTTTATGCAACGGATGGCGCTTTAATCATTTTATGGTGTCAAAATATATTTTTTAGTTTGGATAAATGGACACAAGGACTAGAGCTTATTGGAAACATTTCAAATTTACTTCAAGTGGATCTTGAAGCTTTTACCCATGGGCGGTAAGATTTAACGATTAACGATCAAAATGTAAAAATATTTTTTAGTGTTAGCCGCAATGAAGTTACATTTAAAGTCCAACAGAACAGACGTGGTTTAAACGCTACTGAAGTCGCTGAATGCATTGGTAAGCAGTTTTTACATTAGATATTTTCTCATTGAAGATGTCAAAAGTTTAATAAAAGTAAATACTACACTTAAAACATTATTTTAGATTTAATAAAAGATCGTTTTAAGGAGATTACCGACTTTGAAGTAATGTCAGTTGGTATCGGAAATCAAAAAGAAACACAAATTGTAGAGTCCCCAAAAAGTATTCCTTCTATCCAGCTAAAGTCTGGACCAAATTATCATTGTCATTTAGTAATATTTTGTTGCATTTGGTTGCAACGTTTACAATTTGATTTGTAACATCAGAGGTCCAATATCAAGCTTTTGTTATAGAGATATTATGAAAAAAACTTCCAATCCCAATAGGGATCAAATACTTTAACCAAGGATCATTAGTCATGTATCTATTGTCATTTTTGGAATTAGCGACCCAAATTACCCAAAAAATGTGTATTTAAAAGATCACTTAGTGATCTATGTAACCATATAATAAGTTAAAAATATAATATAAAAATTTATGATGACAGATTCTAGTATCCCACTATATAAACAAAATTGCAGTAAATATTTTATTAATATACGCTTCTGGAATTTTAAATGATATATTTATTTATTTTTTATCATATTTAATTTATAATAATAATTATTGTCCATAGTGTACATATATAAAAAATGTGAGTTGGTAATTTTTTACCTGTATGTATCTTGCCCCTATTATACAGTTTTAAAATGTTTTGTTATAATTTGTAATAATAATAATAATGAATATAATTGTAAATATATTTTTAATTTATCTGTCCTGCCCAAATTTTTTTATTTGCCCTCAAAAAAGTTGCTAATATGAATAAAGGGTGTTTTTTAAAAGTATAAAACTTTCAAATGGTAAAACATAAAAATCATCTTAATGGATTAACATAAAATCTGCTTAATATTTGGTTAAAATGAACACCTATTTTTTACTGTATAGGACGAATTTTCAAAGATATTTACCTATAATTCCCTTAATCAAACAGATAAAATCGGATAAAATAGTGTATACTAAGGCATCATTGTTGATATTGCCCTTATCAAAAGCAATTAACGCGATATGACAGAAGAGGCAAAATTAGGTGAAATGGTTTGGCAAAAAACACGTTGTTAAACAGTAAAATTAAAACCAATGCAGAGAGTTTGTTGATAAGGGCGCGTTATCACTAGCTTTACCGCTTTTGATAGCCAAACGTTACTATCTCATTACAAGAGAAACTTTGTTTTAACATTTGTTATTTTTTAATAAAACATTCTTAATTACATAACTACTTGATTTAAGTTTTTTTGTATATTTAGGTGGTAAAACGTAAAATTGAGTTTATGTATGTGATAAAATGAATTGGTAAGTTTATTTTAATACACTTGCAGGCAAAATAATCGATCCACACAAATTTTTGATTTTATTAATGAAGAATCGCTCACATTTTAAAAATCTACTAAAAATGGATGTACGTTTATAATTTAGCAAAACCGTATATTGTTTAAAATAAAGTTTTAATTATCAAGTCACATATATTCCTAACAGTTTTGTTTTTTGCTTCACCTAGATATGAGTGATTCTACAAAAGTTGGACAACTTGATGTCATCAGTCAATAGAGTATTTTAATATTTTTTGTAAATATTTTAGTATATTACAAAAGATCCAGGTTTTTTTAACTTGTCCACCCAATTTTAATGTATTTTTTCAAAAGCACGTTGGTAAAAACATAATAAATATTCAAAACCTCAGTACCTTGGCGTGTCACAACTCCTGAATCAAATATTTAAGTGATTTTATTTCAAAATATATTCAATTTATCTTAAATTTTTCAATTTTACTACAATCTATAAAACATTAAATAATGTATTCTTCATATTTTATCATAGATTTCAATAATAGCAATTTTTAAAAAATTGATAATCTTTGTACTCACTTTTACCCGTCAGTGTCCAATATTAAAATTCAAAATTCCTGTGAAATATTGAAGTTTAAACGTTAAGTCCTCGTTTTAACTCAAGTGTTGGTAAAAAATTACCTACAGAGCCCGCCCTTTGCACGACAGTCATCTTGAAAGCAAGCGGCGACGTTGTGATGAATGTAGTAGTTCCAGTCGTATATATATTTCATTGTAATTTATATAAGGCTATATGTGATTTATTGATAAGTAACATCCACTAATAAAAAATATCAGTAAAATACTTAATTCCGAATTATAATCTCAAATTTGTATACCATTCATCGGTACCGTGTCGTCAGTTCCATGTTCGATGTTTCGGTTATCTTTTTCTTGCGCAGAACTTGTTTATTTAATGTCATTTTAAACTCATATAAATTTGGTGTGGGTCCCATATCTAATAATTGAGATATCGGTATACCCAAAATCCACCAGCTGCCACTGATGTGTGGTATTATTTGATTTTAAGATATTTAATGTATAATATGCTCAAAGTTGTAATAAATCATATATTTTCCAATAAATTATGTATTTAATTAGTACCCTGGTATACTCGTCACTTCCTTTGCATTCAAATTTAGAAAACACAGATATTTCAGAGTTTGAAAAAGTGACTGGCCCGGTCTGGAACAGTATGTTTATTATATTATCTATGTTCTCATAACAAAATACTGTTTAATTTTATCCGAAAACTATATAAACAAAATAAGATCAAAAGTTGCCCAACTTTTGTAGAATCACCCATATATTTATTTTTGTGGAAAATATGGATTTAAAAAAAAAACATTGCAATTTCCACTATTATTTTAAATTCGTTTAAATACAAAATCAAATAAAAAAGTTATTCATAGAAAATTTGTGTAAATCGAATATTTTGCCTTTAAAAAAAATACAACTTTTGGTGACAAAGTGGAATTAAAATTATTTGTTTTTTTGATATATAAATTTTTTTTAACCATATTAAAAGTTACATAAAAGACACCTCCAGAAAAACTTCCATTCATCCTTACAACAAACACACAACAAGGGCTAAAAATAGCATTCCATATGTTCAAGAATGGGCTCTGTGTCCCGTTTTCGGGAGTTGCAGCCCCCTTAGTTTATCGATCGTCGCGGGCGTCCCACGTAAACCGCCTTCGACGTCAAGCGTCGACGGCGCCGACGCCCGAGCGTCCCGACGGTCGCGCAAACCCAACACGGCCACCGTCGACGACGGCTAGATCCGAGCCGTCCGTCGAGTTTTGCATTTTCCTCGATATCGCCTTTTGTAAAACGGTTTTGCGCGAACGTACAGCAACTTTAAGATGCAGTGAACAAGCCGCGGCGATTGCTGGTAAGTGCCACAAAGTTTTAACCGCGATTTCGTCGATTTAAGATTCACCCACCTGTTTGGAATGTCACCTTCATGGTGTATGTCTAAGGCCTAAGGGCTTTTGCATGTTTTTTAACTATTATGATTATTGAATTTTATTTTATGAATGAGATTTTACGCGTTATGTTTTTAGTTGTACAATTGCACTGTGACATGGTTAAATTAACTCGTCGGTGGTAATTACAATGTAACGTATCGATTTTGTTTTTTCCCGACATGTGTTTTCTGAATATAACATTTACTCGATAACTAACTTTATTTAAATTGTGTTTTGTTATGCACATATGCCAAGAAAGTTTTTTTTAAATTATTTTAAATTAAATCTTAAAAAAAATATTAATTTGTTTTCGAAGAAAATTAAACAGTATTTTGTTATGAGAACATAGATAATATAATAAATATACTGTTCCAGACCGGGCCAGTCACTTTTTCAAACAGTTTCTGAAATATCTGTGTTTTCTAAATTTGAATGCAAGGGAAGTGACGAGTATCCCAGCGTACTAATTAAATGCATAATTTATTGGAAAATATAAGTTTTATTGCAACTTTGAGCATATTATACATTAAATATCTTAAAATCAAATAATACCACACATCAGTGGCGGCTGGTTGTTTTGGGTATACCGATATCTCAATTATTAATTATGGGACCCACACCAAATTTATATGAGTTTATAATGACATAAAATAAACAAGTTCTGCGCAAGCAGAATTTAAATTGAAGTTTGCGAAAAAAAGATAACCGAAACATCGAACTTGGAACTGACGACACAGTACTGATGAATTGGATACAAATTTGAGATTATAATTCGGAATTAAGTATTTTACTGATATTTTTTATTAAAGCCTTATATAAATTACAATGAAATATATAAACGTAAGAAAATAACTACTCACCACAGTACTGAAATTTTGACTGGAACTATACGTGAATTCACCACAACTTCGCCGCTTGCATTGTTTTCAAGATGACTGTCGTGCAAGGGGCGGGCTCTGTAGGTAATTTTTTACCAAAACTTGAGTTAAAACGAGGACTTGACGTTTAAACTTCAATATTTCGAAGGAATTTTGAATTTTAACGTTGCACACAGAACTGACGGGTAAAAGTGAGTACAAAGATTATCAATTTTTTAAAAATTGCTATTATTCGAATCTATAATAAAATATGAAAAATACATTATTTAATGTTTATAGTTTGTAGTAAAATTGAAAAATTTAAGATAAATTGAATATATTTTAAAATAAAATCACTAAAATATTTCATTCAGGAGTTGTGACACGCCAAGGTACTGATGTTTTAAATATTTATTATGTTATTCTACAAACGTGCTTTTGTAAAAATACATTAAAATTGGGTGGACAAGTTAAAAAAAAACTGGATCTTTTGTAATATAGCAAAATATTTACAAAAAATATTAAAATACCTACTCTATGGATCAAGTGGTCCAACTTTTGTATAATCACCCAAATAAATCACATTTTACACCATTATTTTCGAGTTTTGCATTTTCCTCGATATTACTTTTTGTAAAACGGTTTTGTCCGAACGTAGAGCAACTTTAAGATGCAGTGAACAAGCCGCGGCGATTGCTGGTAAGTGCCACAAAGTTTTAACCGCGATTTCGTCGATTCAAGATTCACCCACCTGTTTGGAATGTCACCTTCATGGTGTATGTCTAAGGCCTAAGGGCTTTGCATGTTTTTTAACAATTATGATTATTGAATTTTATTTTATGAATGAGATTTTACGCGTTATGTTTTTAGTTGTACAATTGCACTGTGACATGGTTAAATTAACTCGTCGGTGGTAATTACAATGTAACGTATCGATTTTGTTTTTTCCCGACATGTGTTTTCTGAATATAACATTTACTCGATAACTAACTTTATTTAAATTGTGTTTTGTTATGCACATATGCCACATATTTTAAATTAAAACTTATTGAAATATCTGTGTTTTCTAAATTTGAATGCAAGGGAAGTGACGAGTATACCAGCGTACTAATTAAATGCATAATTTATTGGAAAATATAAGATTTATTGCAACTTTGAGCATATTATACATTAAATATCTTAAAATCAAATAATACCACACATCAGTGGCGGCTGGTTGTTTTGGGTATACCGATATCTCAATTATTAATTATGGGACCCACACCAAATTTATATGAGTTTATAATGACATAAAATAAACAAGTTCTGCGCAAGCAGAATTTAAATTGAAGTTTGCGAAAAAAAGATAACCGAAACATCGAACATGGAACTGACGACACAGTACTGATGAATGGGATACAAATTTGAGATTATTATTCGGAATTAAGTATTTTACTGATATTTTTTATTAGTGTATGCTATAGCATACTTATCAACAAATTACATATACATACTTATCAACAAATTACATATAGCCTTATATAAATTACAATGAAATATATAAAAGTAAGAAAATAACTACTCACCACAGTACTGAAATTTTGACTGGAACTATACGTGAATTCACCACAACTTCGCCGCTTGCATTGTTTTCAAGATGCCTTAGTGTTGGGCTTATATCTCATATTGGATTTGTTATGTATTTGACTTAAGTCAATTTTAAAATATCATAAAGCTATATATATATCTTGCTACAGATATAACTTACTGTCTATCAAAAACTGTCGAAAAAGGTTTTCTTAAATGACCCAAACCAAATTAAAACTGTCAAAAAATTACCCAAACTTAGAAAGAGCTATATAAATATTATTTGTCAATAACCGATGAACTTTATTAAAAATTTAAAAAAAGATTGACCTGATTGTTACATTGAATCTCTAAGGATTTTTATAAAGCAATTTGAGAAAAATACACATTGGTATTAAATGTCAATGAAAACAACTTATTTTGTGGTATTAGATATCAAAATGTATGTACACAACCTTTTCAGTTTTGATGGCATAGTTAGGAAGAAATGTTTACATGTTTTTTGTTAATTAAAGAAGTTTTTTATGGTATGGTAAAAATAATTAAATCGTTTGCTCAGAGAAATGTCATAAAAGAGGACCATTTATGCTTAAAATACGACACTGTATAAAGCTATTTAAATAAATGTTTAAAATATCTGAACAGATTTTACGTTCAGACGCCTAAAGTAATTAATATCAGAGTGACAAATTTTAAAGTCATTTATTTTATGGTAAATTTTGTCATCTTTTAAAATATGTATATTATACTTATAATGGTGGATTCCAGCAGTAGGCGCAATGACAATATGAATTAAAATAAAATCGTCGCTGATTCTTCTATTATTTTTTATTATAATTATAATTCGTATTATTTATTACTTAATTATAAAAGAAAATTAAAAATTACATTATCTTGTAAACTACCTATTCATTTTATCTTATTTTAACAGAAGGTTTGTTTATTAATAATCTTGATTCTGTAAAAAAAATTATTTGATTGAATCAGTAGCTAATTGATTAAATAATACCCTGGGATTTTAGTTATTTATAATTAAAATATAAATATGCTGCATTATACACAAAAATTAAATTTAAAAGTTTACAAAATTATGTAATTTCTAATTTACTTTTACAATCAAAATAAAATTACCTACTGATACAATTAAATTTTAATCTGCATAGATATATTAAACTTGTGTTAAAATGTCATGATATTTTTTTAATATAATTTATTTTTTTCTTTCTTTGACACATCTTCACGACTTCATGCTCTCCTGATACTAACGGGCGTTTATAAGCGTTTCATATTTTCCGTGGCAATGTGTTACATCACGCTCCAAAAGATGTATATAGCTTTAAAAAAAAGATTTATCATTTTGACCCAACAAAGTATAAACCAGTAGAACCAATAGAGACTCAAAATAGTAATTTATTTTCTACCAAACTTTTAAATACATTATGACCCATAAACTCACATGACATCTTACTCTCAAATCTAACAAAGTTACAAATTAATTATTCAAAGCGCAATTTCCTAAATCAGCTAAACCTATTATAGGTATACGTACGAGGTTTAATTAGCAAGTATTATTAGCAACATTGCTACGTATTAAGATTTAACCCCCATCAAACTAACCGTTTGTTTTGTCTACGCTACGAGTTTACTAATTGTATGTTTAAAAGTATTGGTATTAATTAATGACTTAAAAAGTAATTTAATTTGTAATTAAAATCACACTGTTCCCAAGTGTCAACAGATTTTTGCTGCAGGGTAGTAAACAACTTTTCGATGGAAGATTGGAAACGCTAAATCTAAAAATGTCCATCATTTCGCTCTTGTTTCCGCGATATTGTTATTTAAATTTATTCTCGGTTTTGCAAAAATGGCGGATGCGCCGGGAACATACACTCACAGGCAAAATAATCGATCCACACAAATTTTCGATGAATTTCAATCGCAAATAACTTTTTTATTTGATGTCGGATTTACACGAATATTAAAGAATATTGTAGATAAATTAATGGACAATCGCTCACATTTTAAAAAATTACCAATAAATAGACGTACGTTTATAATATACAGGTTTAAACAAAAAGATGTTTTTTACCATAAGTTTAAGAAACTCTGTAGAGTGGCAAAACCGTATATTGTTCTAAATTAAGTTTTAATTATCAAGTCACATCCATTTTTAACAGTTTTGTTCACCTTGATATATTTATTTTTGTGGAAAATATGGATTTTGTTTAAAAAACATTGCAATTTCCAATATTTTTCCTGTGAAGAACTAAGGTTGCTATGGTCCATCCATAGCCTACGGAGGATGACAGTGACAGTTTTGTTGAATCATCCCATACTTGGATATGTCATATACAGCTTTTAAAAGCTATCAAATTGTTTTTTTGTAAATTAATGTGTTAATTTTGAGGTGTCTTCTTACTTTTAAAAATGTCTCCGACTGATGTTGCCCTTTGTACTTTACTTCTTGTGACGTTTAAAACACTTGCCACGTAATACTGTGACCGTCCATCCTGGATTAAATGAATGGCTCTGGTAACATCAGTCGGGGTCATATCCATTTTTTAAAGTGAGAAGACACCTCAAAATTTAAACAATAATTTGCAAAAAACAATTTGATAGCTTTTGAAAGCCGTGTATGACATGTCCAAGTATGGGATGATTAAAAAAAAACTGTCACTGTCATTCTCCATAGCATATGGATGGACCATAGCAACCTTAGTTCTTTATATGTACAGAAAAATATTGAAAAATGCAATGTTTTTTAAAAAAATCCATATTTTCCACAAAAATAAATATATCGAGGTAAACCAAAAACAAAACTGTTAAGAATAGATGTGACTTGATAAATAAAACTTAATTTAGAACAATATACGGTTTTGCCACTCTACAGAGTGTCTTAAACTTATGGTAAAAAACATCTCTTTGTTTAAACCTGTATATTATAAACGTACGTCTATTTATTGGTAATTTTTTAAAATGTGAGCGATTGTCCATTAATTTATCTACAATATTCTTTAATATTCGTGTAAATCCGACATCAAATAAAAAATTTATTTGAGATTGAAACTCATCAAAAATTTGTATGGATTGATTATTTTGCCTGTGAGTGTATTATCACAGGAAATCCACTATATTTTATCAAAAAGTAAAAAATAAATCTTTTTTTTTTCAGGCCATGCCGTGGCCCGGCGCATCATTGAAGCTATGCCTGCTACTGCTGGCGGCCACTGTAGGCCCGCCTGGACTTAGTGCCGAGCAAAGCGTTGGTAAGTAGCGAAAAAGTTTTTTAAATACTTTTATACAAAACGTATGGCAAATATAAGCTTTGTTTAAACCGATCACAAGAAAATTAAACACATCCAAAGCAATCGAATCAAATATGAGTCAAACCACGTCAAGTGGGACCAGAAAATTTCACGAAATCACCGATTTTGAAAATAATCACATTATTGTGTAGTAGGCATGACTCATATGTCACAGTAAAAAAATTGTTTTAAAATTCGTTTTTTTGGTAATGTTATTAAGGTTGACAATTTTGTCAAACTTTAGAGCACGGTAAAATTGAAAAAATAGAATCTCTGGGACCACTCTGTATAATTGAATTAAATTTTACACACTATTGTAGAAATGTTTAGAGTATATAATGATCATTTAATTAAGGTTAATTTGTTTAAATAAAAGAATTTTTCATACATTTATTATAAACAATTGAAATTTTGTAAGTGTTCTTCACGCTGAAAAAAAATTAATCTTGTGTCATAATATGCGGCAAACGTTTCCGTTTAATAAGATGTACTCAAAAATTTGTCTTTCCTATGTCATTCCGGAGATATTAATTTTTTTGTCCCGCTGTGCGCTTGATCAGTACGCGGCCCGCTTCGCTGCTAGCTCGTCAGCACACGGTGTGCCTGAACGAAGTTTAAGTCACATAAAAAATCCTCAGTTTCTTGTTCGGGACCCTTTGGTGACTTAAAAATGATATTTACCAAAATCCTAGCTGCTCCTCTTTTCTAAATTTTTTGAAAAATCTTTTTTATGCATTTTGCTTTTTACTATATAAAAAAGTGATTTTTGTCTAACCCTGTATAAATCTAAGCATATATATAAAAACAGTTTCTCTCGTTTACAATATCGGTGTACAAATGTGTACTCTGGCAAAGGTAGATTTTGCGATAAACAAATAATTTTAAAAAAATTGAATTTTTTACAAATTAAAAAAAAAACAGTTGGAATTTTGGTAAATATATTTTTTAACTTCAACCAATTTTTCGTTCAAAATTGAAAACTACTAAAAAGCCTAAATTAAACAACATTTTAAATACTCTCTAAGCGTTATTTTATTAAATGTTATTACAAATCTATTTTTCTTGTAAAAGGTTAATAATAATGCCATTTTGTAACCTGATAGACCTAGAAATATCTAAAAAAAAATTGGGAATAAATATTTTTCGCGTGTTATGCTAAAATCATGAATTTACGCTTTTGCATTATTAAAAATAAGTGATTTTTGGCTAACCCTTTATATATCAAACGATGTGAACAGTATTAAAAAATATTCTCTAAGTCTCCTAAATAATATACTCCCATTTTATAAAAATCCGTGTGCAAATGTGTACTCTGTCAAAGAGATAAACAAAAATTTAAAAAAATATCATGAATTTTCGAACAATTTCGAAAAGAGGAGCAGCTAGACCTTTGGTAAATATCATTTTTAAGTCACCAAAGGGTCCCGAACAAGAAACTACAATCAGTTTTTGGCGGCATTTTTATGTGACTTAAACTTCGTTCAGGCACACCGTTAAACCGTTCGAACGGACGAGCTAGCAGCGAAGCGCGCCGCGTACTGATCAAGCGCACAGCGGGACAAAAAAATTAATATCTCCGGAATGACATATGAAAGGCAAATTTTTGAGTACATCTTATTAAACGGAAACGTTTGCCGCATATTATGACACAAGATTAATTTTTTTTCAGCGTGAAGAACACATAAAAAATTTCAATTGTTTATAATAAATGTATGCAAAATTCTTTTAATTAAACAAATTAACCTTAATTAAATGATCATTATATACTCTAAACATTTCTACAATAGTGTGTAAAATTTAATTCAATTATACAGAGTGGTCCCAGAGATTCTATTTTTTCAATTTTACCGTGCTCTAAAGTTTGACAAAATTGTCAACCTTAATAACATTACCAAAAAAACGAATTTTAAAACAATTTTTTTACTGTGACATATGAGTCATGCCTACTACACAATAATGTGATTATTTTCAAAATCGGTGATTTCGTGAAATTTTCTGGTCCCACTTGACGTGGTTTGACTCATATAAAATATTATTAAAAATTAAAAGGAATAATTTTTATAACCATTTATGTAGGTGTTACAAAAATTGATTATATCCTCCGTAAATCTGTTTTTTGCTTTAAATTTTATGCAACGGATGGCGCTTTAATCATTTTAAATAAGCAAAAACCTTTGTTTACGACATTATAGATGCATGTGATTCCTGAAGGTCAGTTAGAATTTATTTACAGATGAGAGTGTTTCTGTTTTATAATTTAAGTTTATTAATTTGCTATTTAAAAACCTATCAACCGTAAAGTGTAATATCTCAGTAAGGGCATAGAAAAGTTTGTTCTCTTGGGGAGTTAATTAATTTGGGGTTTCGTGCATGATTTTCATGCTCAATCTCGTTTAATTAGGTTCAAAAAGTGTTTGTTTTGGGTTAAGATTGTTATCTAAACGTTTCCTTAGGGTATCCCCACGTAATAATTCAAAACATTTTATTTTATGTCCATTTATGATGCAATTATTGGTAATAGTTGTTAAAAAAAATATTCGTTTGTACACAGAAAAGTTTCCTTTTCATGATTAAATAAAATAAAATATAATTTCACAAATATTGATATCCTTGAATTTACTACTTTTTATAGTGAATTATATATTTATTTATTATTATTTAGTAGCTAAAGAGCAAACGGAAATACCAAACACCCTGTCTAACATTTTGGAATACTACTAATGGCTCCTGATAGGATACTTCTTTGTTAACGTGTATACGAAGAATGGTCTTTTCAACATTACAATTGTTGGTAATACAGAGAAACTGTATTTATTTGGTAACTCCATCTCTTAAAATATAAAAAAAAACATTAAATATCAATACACAATTGAAGATAGGAAAACGATTCTAAATGCAATAGCTCCAGAATTTAACTTTTAATTCAAAAATGAAATAATATTTCGTTGGCAAAAACAAAATTACTGTCACTTCCGGTTCAACCGGAAGGTACAGCGTAATGAAAATATTTTAGTAAAAAAGATAGCATAGTTCTCCATAAACCTCTAATGAATCAGTAAGGTGAATTAATCTGTATATACTAGACTGGGCCAAAAAAATCAACTATTTTTTTTGAAAAGTATATCGAAAATATTGTTTGGGGTGACAAAAAAAAATTATGGTGAAAGTTTGAGTCCATAATATTAATATTAAGAGGTCTATCATCGCAATTTTAGATTTTTTTTTCCTGAGCGAGTTTTTGTCTCAGAACTCCCAAACCATTGAGTTTAACAAAATTGACTTAAGAATATTTTTTGAAGAAAATTGAATGTTCTACAAAAAAGGTAAAATTGAAATTTCCCGTCAGATGAACCGTTTTCTTACAATCATACCTTAAAAATTGGTATAGTTTTACACTTTGGAATTTTGTAATTCATGTAAAAATCAGTACCCTCAAAAAAAAACGATAAATATTCTTATGGAAAATCAAATGCTCTACAAAAAAAGTATTTTATCATTTTTGGCTAAATTCACTCCATCAAAAGTTATTCAAGGTTAAATTTGAAGTCAAAACGAAATTCTTGTTTTTTCCGGTCTACATAGATTTTTTTGGGTCAGTTAAAAACTTGAATTCTTTTATCGATGATAATCTTTATGTTATTCATAAAATTACTGAAAATTAAAAAAAAATTGACACATTAGAGTGTTTTCGTTTTAAGAAGCTATTTTCTTTAGAAAATATTATTTTCACTGTTTACCTATTTGGTCACCTATTTAATCGTTTAAATAATAACAATAAACAATCACAATTAGTTATATAATACACAAGAAAAAAATCTAATTATCACCCATAAAAAAATAAATCTACAGAGGAAAAAAACAAATATTTCGTTTTGACTTCAACTTTAACCTTCAATAACTTTTGATTGAGTGAATTTAGCCAAAAATGTTAAGAGGCTTTTTTTGTAAAGCATTTGATTTCGCATAAAAATATTCATCGTTTTTTTTTCTGGGTACTGATTTTTACATGAATTACAAAATTCCAAAGTTAAAAGATCAAAATGTAAAACTATACCAATTTTTAAGGCATGATTTTAAGGAAACGGTTCATCTGACGGAAAATTTCATTTTAACCTTTTTTGTAGAGCATTTAATTTTCTTAAAAAAATATTTTCAAGTCAATTTTGTTAAACTCAATAGTTTGGGAGTTCTGAGACAAAAACTTGCTGAAGAAAAAAAAATTTAAAATTGCGATGATAGACCTCTTAATATTAATATTATGGACTCAAACTTTCACAATAATTTGTTTTTGTCAACCCAAACCATATTTTCGATATACCTACTTTCCAAAAAAAAGTCGATTTTTTTGGCCCAGTCTAGTATACACCCCTATCTTAATAGAAAATATGTTTATAGATTTTAGTTTAATTATAGGAAATGTCTTAAATTATTTAATTATTTTTTAATCTTTATATTTGATCGATTTTATAGATTCAAAATTTTGTTAAACAGTAACTGTTATTATGTCTGACGAAAAAAAAAGTTTGACAAAACTCAAGATGCATTTTTTTTGGGAACAAAACTCAAGATTCATTTTTTTATCTGTAAAGGCCAAGAAACGGGGAGTTTTTGCTATTTTCCCAACATTTTATTAAAATGGATATAGCCGGTTTTGCACGGAGGCTCCTCAAATATTTCTTAAGCTAAAAACTGATCAAAACCAAAACAAAAATATTTTTTTTTCGAAATTCACATGTAACGAATCTAACCGTTAGATTCTAACGTACCTTTTAATCTACCTACCCTGTGAAACAAACTTAACCAACTCGCGGCGTTCGCGTGATGACGTAAGCGAAGGAATGGAGCGAGAAAGGAGAAACGGGGGGAGACGCCCACGGCGAGAATTGGGGGGCGCGTGGGCGATCAACAATTAATATTAAGTGCAGCGAACCCCTGAATGCCTCGGGGTCCTTATATCTATACCAAGAATCGATCAGACTGAACTGTTTTAGATGTCATTTTTATGTAAAAAATTTGACTACAAGAAAAAAAATCAAACAATTAAGTCGTGTAGATTAATGGGTCATTTTCAAGAAACACCCGCTTTCAGGAAAATGAAGATCAAAATATTTTTTTTTGCTTAAATTGACTTTTGGTTGGATTTTATTAAATGTTTAGAGTTTTGTTTACTTACATTTAAGACAAACAGTGCACTTTTTAATTTTTTTTACGTTTTTCTCAGAAAAATGTGTTTAGCTAGCTTTATATATCTCCACTGTGTTACGAATTTGAAATTCAAAATTTAATTCAATAAAAAAAGTTTTTATAAAAATAATTTGAAATAAAATGTACTTAGTTCACAAACTTTTGACTCCAATTTTTTTATTTTATTTTTTATTAAAAATTTTATGCTTTTTTTTAAATATGTATGTTCGTTAAGTTACTTTTTAAAAGAAACCATTCCGATTCTTTGTTAAAAAAACAATACCATTAATATTTTCTTTTAGTCACTGTATTAGTGAATTAAACTCTAATTTATAAACACGTATTACCAAGTGATAGAGTATAAAAATCATTTTAAGTATTTTTTTTAACAAAAACCAAAAAAAGTTACGAAATAGACATTGGTATGATTTTAGAGTAATGCATAAACAAAATCCCTTGTAGTGGTGCTCACTTGCACAATAACAACTTAGATTTCTAAATTGTAGACACCCTTTTTCTTTGCTGGTGAAGGTCTTGCGTCCCTTTTAGTACTTGTATATTGCGTGTAATTTTCCCTTGGATGTAATCTATATCATGAGTTGTAATCACAAATAATTTTAAATTGGTTTATCATAAACTACTTTTAATAAAAGCGACGGTAAATATCCACTTTGTTGTCGAAAAATTCTATTGCGTTACCCTAAATTCCATTGCGTTACCATAAGGTAACATAGTGGACTCGGTAACGCATAGGACAAAGTTTTGTAAAACCATATTTTAAAAATAATAATAAGACATTATAGTCATTAATTACTCTCAATGAGCTTTAGTGCCCTTAAATAAACATAAACATGAAAAATAGTATTTTTTCTTACCTTATTTTTATTATTTTTTTGAGTAACTTAGCGGACAAACAATTATTACATTCGCGTTACCCGCACCTGTTTCAACCGATATCTTCTTCCTGATTGAATAAATAAATTCAGCTGGGTAATGTTTATGTCCGAACATCATGAGTACCAAAAAAGTTGCCATATGTATGTTTTTTTAATATTCTATCGGTAACGCGACGGACGTAACGCAACGGAAAAAATGTCTGGGACATGAGTCAAATTTAAAAAAAGTAGATTAAAATTAATTATTTTATATATAAATTGTTTACTGTATTAACTAAGGATGTTATGGATTGCTATAAAGCAACACAAAGTTCTGGTTATTCAATATAAAACGCTAATGGGACATGCGAAAATGTGTGTTTCACAAGTTTTAAAATTAAAAAAAAATATTCTGAAATAACTAAACAAAAATTTTCTGAAAGAGTTTACTAAGGGCTTGTTAGGCTTTCACTTGGTTTTTTAATCAATAAGATCCGATAATTTTTAACAAAGTTATTGGAATTCAAACTTACGGTCAGCGGAAGGCGGGTGTTTTTTTAAAACGACCCTTTTAAAATAGATTATTATTAGAGAGCTTTATTAAATAAATAATGTTTTAAAAACAAATATTCTGTAACAAAAAAAAATGTCTTACAAAATACAGTTTGAGAATGGAAAATATATTAAATTCCATTATATCAAATATATGAGAAATATGCACATATTTTAAAATAAATAGATTTTTAGAATTTCATAAGAATCTTAAGAAAGAATTTAATTAGATCTGATATAAATATATGTATACGTAAAATATTAATATAAATATATATAGCAATGAAAAGACGTAATAAAGGAATCAAATGCAATGAAATCTTATGTAATTTAATGAAATTTAGTTAATTAATTAATTAATTTACTAGTTAGTTTTACTAGTACTGTAAATTGACGTAGATTAACACAATAGACAACAACACCCTTAAGTTTATGATGCATATAAAGGGTGTTCCTAAATAACAAGCACACAATAATATTCGTTTTTATTTTGTAAGATAAATCTCAAAAAATAGGTAGATAGAAAAAACTATACAAATTTAACTTTGTGCTATACAAAGTGCACTTGCTATGACAAAAGAAACCTAAACAATATCATAATTGGGACGATATATTATATTATACATTATCTCATTTATTTTATAATCTTATTAAAGCTAAAAGAGCAAACTTGAAAGGAACTCCCACTTTAATTAAAATCTTTTGTGCAACAGTGTATTTCGTACTCGAACAAATTGCCTTTGTGGATGCTATGTTTAATTTTTTCGTTTTCGTTTCAGGCTGTTTGTACAGCGAACGCTTGTGTCTCGAGGAAGAGTGGTGTTATGACGGTAAGTTTTTTTTACTTTACGCATTTTTATTTAGTTTGTTGTTTAAAAATGTTTTTTTTTTAATAGTTATTGTATTTTATTTTTATAATATAGTAAAGTATAAAAAAGTACCTTTTTTCGGTACGGCCCGATAAAAAAATACATTAATATACGGTCTTTGTTATTAAAAATCTACTTTTTAATATTTATAGATTTATAGATTCATTAGTTTAAAAAGGTTATTATTTTTAGAAATATACGGGGTGTGTTCAGAAAATAACGGGAATTGTTTAATTTCGCGGGTTCGAAGGGTCCGGTTGTCATAAAATTTTCTTTATTATGTTGGTATACATGCCCCCGAAGTATGATAAAAACTTTAGCTGTTTTCATTGTTTACTTTGTCTGTGGCAGCCGCTAAGGTTAGACGTGTTTTATGAGCTCGGCGATTTTTCTTTCGCTAAAAGAAATGGATCAGAGAATTTGTATCCAATTTTGCTTAAAAAATTAAATAAATTCTGTGAAATGTTAACAAAGGCCTATAGTGAGTCTGCTATAAGTAAAATAAGAGTTTCCAAGATGACGAACGCCACGAACGCACAAGCTCATTAACAACCGATAAAAACATGGAAAAAGTGAAAGAAATGGTTATAAACCATTAGAGAAGTCGCTGATGATGTTGGTATATCGATTGGCTCATCCCATGAAATTTTTTCGAATGTTTTGGGTATGAAACGCGTGGCAGCAAAATTTGTTCTAAAATTGTTAAATTTTGAACAGAATTTTTGGCCAAAAACAATACTGTAATGATGCCCCAGCCTCTATATTCGCCAGACATGCCTCTGTCTGACTTTTTCCTTTCCCAAAAATAAAGAGAACCTTAAAGGGCCGTCGTTTTGCAAGCATAGATGACATTAAAAGCGCATCGCTGAAAGAACTAAAGGCTATCCCAAAGATCGAGTTTTAGAAGTGTTTCGAGTATTGGAAGAAGAGCTGGCACATGTGCATAATATCCAATGGGGTCTATTTTGAAGGCGACAACATTAATGTAGACGTATAAATAAATATTTGTTTAAAAAAACGAAAATTCCCGATATTTTCTGAACACACCTCGTATATATTGTCTTCGAATTTTACAACAGGAATACGACAATCCATGGCTACTATAATTCTTACGCACTGGATTAGCCAAAAAGCGGCCAAAAACACAATACAATCAGAGTGTTTGTAATCATAGACAACATTACATTTTTACGTGGTATTTTAATAGTTATTTATGTCATTAGGTTAAGAAGTAAGGCTTTTTGTGCTAAGCTCAAGGTTTGAAGGCCGACGCGTAGCGGAGGCCTACAATTGAGCGAAGCACAAAAAGGCACTTCTTGGCCGAATGGCATACAACATTTTATATTCAAAGCACTTTATATAGGTCAATTTAATTCAACATTAAAGAGGCCTAACCTTACTTTTTTAGAATCTCATTTATTTATTAGGTAAAGATTACATTAAATGTACAATAATTATTATTGCTTTTAGAAGCAGTAGGTAATAGTTTGACAATACCTAGCAACATGATTTAAGTAGAAATGGATTTTTGCTATTAGGTACATTGAATTCAATTAATTCTTTAATAAATAGGTAGGTATCTAATTTCAATTTGTTTGGATTTTTATTTAAAAAATAGGTAGTTTGGAATGTTTAAGCTGTGTTTAACATTTAATTTCACTGAAAACTTAAAACAAATTAAAACTTAAAGATAATTTAAATCGTAGAAAAAGAATCGTGCGTTTTCTTGGATGCCTAACCTCACTTTTTGTTTTATATTTAATTTTACAATAATTTAATGAAAAATATTAAACATTAACAGTAAAACAAACAAATTAGTGCTTATTATAAATAAATTAAACCAGTTTAGTACGTTAATTTCTTAGAAAAGGATTAATTTGTGAAAAAAATACCCCTAGCGAGAAAAAATCGAACTAATTACTTGCCTCATAAAAATTTTTATCGGCCTAGGCCATAACAAGGTATTTCTTTATCGAATGTTGAAAACATTAAAGTTTAAATTATAGACCGCGTGGAGATAAAAATATTTAGTTATAAAAAAGTTAGAGAGCTTTAAAGTTGACCAAGTTTAGAATAAAAATTATAATTTTTTTTGTTTAAATGTCTGTAACTTTGAAACTAATATTTTTTATAAATAAAATCTATCCTATTTTTAATTTTATAATAAAAAAAACAAGTTAATAACGTAAAATGATAAAAATAACAATTTTTAAATTAAACTAAATTAAGAAAATATATTCTTAACATTAAATAAAAAATTAAAAAAAAAAGTTAAATACTTTTTAATAAAAGTTAAAAAAATGTAATTTAATTTATTTTAAATCATCAATTACGTGTTGTTTGTGCTATACCTGTACCTGTTAGACCCAAGACTAATGATTAAAAGCATTACAGAAAAAATATAAATATAGATTTAATTAAAAAATGCTATTTTATATTTTTTGTTTTTATTATTGGTCGTCTAATTTTGTGGGTTAAGGTTTTTAAACAAAATCAAACAAATCTTAATTTTAAATAAACTAACATTATGACATTATTTTTTCCGTGAAGGTATATTGTAATGAACTCATAATTCCCTTTATAGTCTTTTGTGATTGGTCGATTTTATTATTCACTACGATTTGACCAATCAGATTTTAAATTAGTAGAAAGTGAGGTTAGACTAATAGAATTTAAGAATTTAAAATGAAATAAAAATACTTTTTTGTTTATGGTTTAAATTAAATGAAAAATACTGTAATTATATATCCACGAAGGCTGAATATTTTCCAATTACAAAAGCAATAATTGACACCAGCATAACTTCACTAAAATAAGGGCTTGACGTAATCGATCGTTTGCCATCAACATGTAGGTCGATTTGCGTATTCCATCGAGGTTTTATTAAAATTCCGTGGACGTGCTCCCCCGTACCAAACTCATAAAAACGCCGGATTTGTATTCAGGCTGGTATCGGAAAAATTAAAGTTAGAATCCTCGATAATATAATACTGACGTATATTTAATACGAATTGAATCTGATACGGAGACGGCATATATCAATTTTTTGCTTGAAAATAACACGCTGATTTTATTTGAGATTTTTATGCTGTATCGAGTGAAATTAAGCACGATTTTTTATTTATTTTTCTAAAGGTATAAAAATTTTATTTTATAAAATAAACAGATTTATATTTAAAATGATTTTGTACTACTAAATTTTTAAATGGAATATGGATAATTAGGCCAACTACTTAATGATACTGAAAATATTTTTATATATTTAATATTTTTTTAAAGTTTTGAAAAATTTTTAATTAGGGTGAAATTTCCGTGACTGTTACTCTTTTTAGGTTAACCTGTATGTTTTCAAATATACTAATATAAATATAAAATATTATTAAAAATTATAAGAAATAATTTTTATAACCATTTATGTAGGTGTTACAAAAATTGATTCTATCCTCCGTGAATCTGTTTTTGCTTTAAATTTTATGCAACGGATGGCGCTTTTATCATTTTAAATAAGCAAAAACCTCTGTTTACGACATTATAGAGCATGTGATTCCTGAAGGTCCGTTAGAATTTATATGCAAATTAGAGTGTTGCTGTTTTATAATTCAAAAGTTTAAGTTCATTAATTTGCTATTTAAAAACCTATCCACCGTGAAGTGTAATATCTCAGTAAGTAGTTTTTTTATAAATATTTTATGTATGTACAATTGTATTTTTAAAAATATTAACTTATTTCAAATATACAAAGGGATGTTTAAAAACATACGAAATCCTAACTTCCGTGAAGCTATCTTCCGTGAAGCTCTAATGTTCAAAATGTATGATTTCTTAAAATTCTTGCATTAGTGCAGAACCACTTATGTTATGTTATTACTAGACCTGGTGACTTCCCAAAAAACACTATTTTGTTAATAAGTTTTGTAACGTATTATATATTTTTTTAAATATTTTAGTATCATTAAGTACCTACTACAAAGCAAATAATTGTTTTATGTATTCCATAAAGTCGGAAAAAAGTGTTACGTTTCACAAAATCTCATCCAGTTGAAATTTAAGAGTTTCAATTAAAATTTTTATGAATTATTTTTTAGACCTTGCATTTGGAAGATGTCTTCAAACAGCAGGAGACGTCACCGAAGAGGATCTTCACAGGTAAAAAAAATCACTTAGCCTTACAACAAAAATTTGAACCGTGAAAAAATTAAGTGCTTAAAATTTAAATTTAAAATACTTCTAGATAATTTGCTATTTCCATTTAGATTTCATTTTTATTCAAAGGTAACATAATAAACTTCGATTTTATGCTATTTTAAAAAAAAATTAAAAAATACACATTGTTTCAAAAAATGCAAAATTTCAAAAAAAATTGCAATTTTTTTTTTGCAAAAACGGTATAGCCCATTGAAAAGTACGGAAAAAATCATTTAAGGTGGTTAACAGAAGTTATGAATTTTCAAATAAAAAGCGACTTCACCAAAAAGTAAAAAATCGATAAATTTCAATAATCCATAACTCTTGAATGAACAATCCTAGAGCAAAAAAAAATTATGCTATGATTCTTCGTTATAAGAACAAGAAATAAGTAAAGTTTAAAAAAAATCGGTGACCAAAATTTTTTCACCTGGTACACTTGGCAAATTTTGCCCCAAATACTGAAAAATTAATTTAAAAAAATTTAAAAGCAGGATAATAATATTATCAAATACCTTTTTTAAACTGCTATAATAACTGCCATTATAATAAGTGAGCACTTAAACTTTTTACAACTAAAAGAATACAAAAAGAGCAAAAAAGCAAGATATAATTATGATTATAAAATATAAAAGACTACTTCTAAAAGGTCAAATGTGATTTAAAGCGATTAAAAAGATCGCGTTTTTGCTATAACTTGTGACCTTTTCACCTTAAGGGTTTTTCAAAGTGCATTTTTAAGCGTTTTTCCTTATAACCCAAAAATAATTGCGAAAAAAGAACATTTAAAAAGGTTTACACAATTTTAGAAAAATAGGCTTAAAATTTAAAATCGATATCTTTTGCCGTTCCCCAGAATCTTTTAATGGACCACGAACGTGAATCACCCTGTATGTATAATAAATCAGAATATTTTACTCTTGGTAAAAATTATTTTAAACTTTTTTATTTTTCAAATTTTATTTTAAAATCCCAAGGCGAAAATTTTACCGAGAAATTTCATTACGTAAAAAGTTTTAAATGGATTTAAATTAAACGTCCCCGCCTGTTGCTAAAACATTTACATTCAGGAAGCGCTGAGATTGGTTTTAACTAAAATTGTATTGTTTGTGGGGGAATACATTAAAAACTTTTAATTATTCGAAAAAAAAAAACATAATTAAAACTGAACTTACCGAAAAACAGCATTTTCCTGAAATCAAGTAAATTATCCTTTAAAAACACTTTATATCACTTAATTTAATTGAAATAAAAATCTATAGAACGCAAGAAAACTCACGAAACGTCAACAATCAACACGAGCAAACAGATCAATTTATTTGTTTCAATAAACTCACATGATCTTGGTATCTAGGCAACGGTCAGTGCCGACTACCCTTTTAATTTTGACGATAAAACATATTATGATTTTTGGACTTTCTGTGAAACCTAATTTTTTTTATATTCTTGTTAATTAGGTCATAACTAAAATTTTAAGAGCAGAATAAAAAAAATTTGACGGTTAATTTTGTTTTAATTGGATGTTTATTAAAAATATGTATGCACACTTTCAATTCTCCAATTAAAACGATTTTATTTAAATATTATCATAACTTTTTAAATCAGATTAAAGATGTTTTGTTGTAATACACGTTTAAAGTTTTAATTTAAGGTTAAATGTATAGTATACATTTATTAAACAATAATTCTAAGGGTGCCACATTTTATTTAGTGCCGATTTATTCATTTTTGATTTATTTGACGAATAATTTCTTTGGATACTAGATATTGCCAAGACATGAAAGTTATCGGCCCGATAAACTTTACTAAAGATGAATAAACCGGTCCTTAGTTAAATTTCATGAATTTCTTCGTAACTTTTACTACAATTTTTCATTTTTGTTTGTAAAAAACACTTTAAAAAACTAAACAAAAATTATAGAATACGTATACCGAAAATTACAATTTAAACGTCAAATAAATTTTTAATAGTTTCAAGTTTCATGGCAACCTTTAAGGATATATTAATTAAGGGAACATAAATGTATACGTCAAAGGTTAGATTAAAAGTTTGGACGTTTATTGCAACAAAACAGTAAAATATATAAAAAAAATTGTATAAACCTTTTTTTTAGTTATGCAAATATTAAATATTTAAATTAAATCGCTAGTTTTAATTGGATAATTGAAAGAGTGCATAATATTTTTAATAAAGAGCCAATTAAAACAATTCAAACCGTCAATTTTTTTTTTATTTTGCTGTTAAAATTTTAGTTATGACCTAGTTAACAAGAATATAAAAAAATTAGGTTTCACAGAAAGTCCAAAAATCACCTCTCAGAACAGCACCGTGACTAGTATAGTTTATTTTTAACCCTTAGGATTCTAATATTTATGTAGAACGCATAAAAAAACTGATTGGGGATTAAATTTAAAAAAGCTACAAATTTTCTTGTTATATTTTATAGCAATTTCTAAGAAATACGCTTTTGATAAAATATCTTATTAAGGCTTTTGCTTTAGGTAAAAATAATAAAAGAGGAATTTTTATCGAGTTTCAGTTGACATTTTAGCGAGTAATACCTATCCGATATCGTTGCCATAGGAACCGGAGCAGAAAATAAGAATATAACACAAAAAATATCGGAATGTTTGAAACATCTCATTACATAAATAAACTAATTTGAAACTTTATTTTTAGATTCAAATTAAAAAAAAATATTTGAAGTATTTAACATAAAATAATATAGAGTGTACCTATTTGTAACTAATTAAAAAAAAAATAACACTAATCATTATAAAATAAATAAAGTTTAAATGGACCAAAAAATTACTAAAACATTTAATTTTCTTATTTTAAACTTTTTTAAAACGATTTTTAGCGACATTTTTTGTAAGTTCATTCGTTCAAGACCAAACTGAAATAAGAATAATGATCCTTAATGGCATCCTTCTTTTATTTGAAGGATATAATATAAAAAGCAACCTGAAAATGACTAAGAATAATGGAAAAAATTTATACGAAAAGAACATTTGGTTAAAAAAAATACACTTTCTATTCAATCGTCAAAAAGTAGTTTATTTATATGAAAATTCTAATTTAACAAGATGTATTTTATACATATGGGTGAATCTCGTGACTGTTACTCTTTCTAGGTTAACCTATATGTTTTCAAATATCTGAGGTAGTAAAAGCATACTAAAAATATTAGTTCACTAAATAAATTAATGTATGTACAATTGTATTTTTTAAAAATATTAAGGTATCAAAAGATACAATAACTTATTTCAAATATACAAAGGGATGTTTAAAAAAAAAACATGCGAAATCCTAACCTCCGTGAAGGTCTAATATTCAAAATGTATTATTTCTAAAAATTCTTGCATAAGTGCAGAACCACTTATGTTATGTTATTACTAGACCTGGTGGCTTCCCAAAAACCCCATTCTAGACTAACAGTAAAACAACCAAAAATAAAAAATAATCATTTTCAATTGGGGGACATGTCAATATATTCACCCAATTATTATAATATTTTTTACAGGTTCGACTTAGGAAGGGAGGAACTTCACGAATTAAGTGCAGAGTTAAGACGCCTGTTCGCTCTTGGTTACAGATGGAGCCACTCGTATACGCAATGTCGTTTACAAGCAATGCTTTATGCCAACCAGCACGAGTAAGTATACAAAATTGAAAAAAAACAAGAGAAGGGGCGGGAAATATTGTGTAAATTTAATTTTCACACAGTATTAAAATAAATTTTACCTGGTGTAATTTGAACTCCTTTTCAGTATTAAATATAATGTGTTTTTGGTCAAATTAAACCATACTACACAGAAAAAAGGGGAAAAAGGAAACAGGAAGTTCCTTGACGCATTACAAGTATATTACCAGAAAATTGAAAATTCAACTCGCTAGAGATAATGTTTTTGTACGTTCCACCAACTTAAAGTACTTCAAGTATTGACAGCTGTTTCCACCTATTTAAGGTCTCTTTAGTATCGAACAACTTGTAGTGTCACACCAAAGCAAAGGACTACCTGAGCTTATATACTCTTCATGTAAGTCAACAGAGGCGAGATTAAAGAACATCACGTGATCCACACCGCCGTTGCCGCGATCGGTACACACTATGCAACCGGGAATGCACGGCAAATTGTTTTAATCGTTTTAACAGAGTGCTTTAGGTTGAAGTAACTCTTATTTTACAAACAACATATTTAGTAAACTGAACCATACAGCGGGTTGGTTTCACTAAAGTTAATTTAACCAATTTAAAAAAATAAAATAACTATCTGGTTTAGTACCGTCAAACTAATCTTTGTTTATATTAATCTTCCCACAGTTGATTTAAATAAATACTTATGGGTCAACTAAATTAATATAGTTAAATGAACTATTCCTTTATTATGTTATATTAACACCACTTGTTGTTGAATTTTGAGACCATTTTAAGATTACTTTTTACACCACAGATATTTTAAACAGTGCACTCAGTAAATTAAACTACTTCTAGCATGACATTCGATCAAAACACCTGCACCCATCTGGTGGACCAAGATTTGGAGGGAGCGCTCAGGGTTTTGGAGGGGCAAGTTCCCATCGATCCGCGAGAGGTCGCCATCATCAAGTACCGGCCCAGCGCGGAAAGTCCGCATGGCGATTTCGCCGACGAAGTGTACTACCCGCCCGAAGACGACCAGCCTCGGCAAAATTTGAGGCAGAAAATTTTGCAACCCAATGCTATCGATTGTAAGTTTTTAATTTAGGGTTTAAAATGCGCATATTATTTTAGACTTTATTTAGTGTTAAAGTGAGATTTAACCTTGTCATATTTCAGTGGTTGATATGGAGGACCCCTATTCAAAGTACGAAGTTTCCAAAAAATCGTGGGTACCACAAATGCACAGAAGGTCTTTGCCGCAATACTTCACTGAAACTTACAACACACCGGGAAATTTCCGTTTGGGCAAAGAAACCAGAGACGACCTGGAATTTTTGCCGCAACTGTTGGCGCAAAACCAGCAGCCGAATTACGCGTACGAAAACTCGGAACCTCAAACTGAACCGCTCAGTTTGGAGGACATGGTCGAAATGTATCCCATCGTGAAGTACCTGAACGAGATGAGGTTGAACCCGAGCGAAATCGAGAGCCTTCTAACGCCGGAAAACTACGGTAGGTTGGCGCAAATTTTGGAAAAGCTAGATCGAGCGCAACACGAGGAATATTTGAGGGAAATGTTGAAGAGGCAGATTCAGGAGGAAAGCTACCAAAACGATGCTGCTCAAGAAAGTAAGTAATGACAAAAACACAATTCAGAATCTGGTCAATCAAAAAACACATTTTAGGTTTGGTCCCGGACCGATTTAACCCTCAATGGATCCCACGAGACTCAATCCCGTTCGTGGACGATTTTCCCGAGCAAAGAATTTACATCGACGAAACGGAAAACGAACCGACCGAAGAAAACGGAAGCGGCCACGAGGAGCAGGAAACGTTCAGGGAACGAAAGGGAAGCAACATCTTCAGGGAGCTAAAAACGCAGGAGCAGCACGGCAACGGAGAGTGGGGTCAACTGGAACCGAATCCTGAAATTTATACCGAGGGAGGGGTGGTTTACGCGCCCCCGGAACAGCTGCAGGAAGAAGGTATCGACAAGATGAGCCCATGGAAGATTAACAGGTTGCTGGAGAAGTACAAGTTGGGGTTTAAGAGACCCGAACGGTTGGATGTCAAGAAACCTGGACCGCCGTTTGATCCGCAAATCGTAGAAGCTGTCAACAATGGTAAACATTATTCTTTTAGTTTTCCTCATCACTAAAATGTGTTTTGTAATTTAAGCTATTAAAAATGAAGAAGATAACCCAGCCAACGTATTCGTTCCGAATATGATGAAGAAGGAACCAAGAGGTGTACATCCAAATCCATCTCATGAGTTACACGAATCGGAGAACGAATATGTTTATGTAAAATTTAAGAGCAAGTAAGTATACTCGCATACATACACAAGATTGTTGTCAATCAGGTTTTAATATCACAATTTGTATCCAAATGCATTTTTTCAGCTTGAGCAAATGGAAACAGGGACAGGACATCATTGGAAATATTTCCAATTTACTGCGTTTAGAACCTAGAGCATTCACTGATGGACAGTAAGAATTAAGGTTGAAAATATTAATCAAGTCATTAACAATATTTTTTAGTGTTGATCCCCATGGCATAGCTTTTAAGGTACAACCCAACGGGCGCGGTTTAAACGTAACCGAAGTGGCCAGGAGCATTGGTAACTTTCTATCTAGAAACTTTGTAAATACGTAACGATAAAAACTTTTTTAAGATCTTATAAAAGACCGTCTTGAGGAGATCACTGGCGTCGAAGTAATTTCAGTGGGGATTGGAGATCGAGCTAAAATGCAAACTGTTCTGGTAACGAAGTTAGAAAACAAATACAACACGTTCTTCACAATTATATTTCTGGTGTGCAGCATATTGGTGGCCTTCATATTCGCCACCTTACTCTTACTTTACATCAAAAAACAAGTGGAAAAAATGGATAAGCTTGAACAGGTGAATATTATACATCAAGTAATATAATATATAATAAATAAATAAATAGATCAGCAAGACGGACCCGGAAGCAAGCAAGGACTATCAGGACCTGTGCAGAGCAAGAATGGCGGGCAAGCAGCCTCCTCCGGGAGATTCGACGCACGGAAGAATAACATCGTTAAGCAGGGAATCGGAACAAAGTCCTTCGAGTAGATCGAGCACATCATCGTGGAGCGAGGAACCCGCCATACACAATCTCGACATATCCACCGGTCACATGGTGCTGAGCTACATGGAAGACCATCTGAAGAACAAGGATCGACTCGAGCAGGTTAGAATATCCAGAAGTACCAGGTTATTATCTATATATCTACAAGGGTATTTAGAGGAATATGAGCTTACACTGATCTCTGTTCTTTTTCTAAGGGATACAAACATTGCCTCTGTCTTGGTAGGGTTGATTTTTATTTTCTACTGTTTGCACCATGTGTCCAGTTACCAGAGGGCGGTATTTAGGCTAGTTCTGATCAGTCTTGGGTCTCGATTTGTTGCCATCAGAGCTGTATCATCCACATGCGTTATATAGTACTTGCACAATTAGTTCTTTGCTGATTCTGTAAGACATCGGGAGACAGGTCACAAACAAAGTATACTGTGACCGACTTATTGTTACTGATAGGCTTTACTCTTTAGCATCTTAGGACGTCTCAAGACGTACTAATATCTACAAGGGTATTTAGAGGATATAGATAATAACTGGTGGTATATTTTGGTGAAATGCAAACTTCCGGTGGTTTCTTCAAATCGAACATCTTTTTTAGGAATGGGTGGCCTTGTGCGCCTACGTGGCCGAGCCCAGCGAGGTAACGATCGCTTCGAAGAAGGAGAACGAGGGCAAGAACCGCTACAAAGACGTGGTTCCTTACGATCACGCTCGAGTCGTGCTCAACGAGCTCAGCAACGCCGCCGACGCCGACTACATCAACGCTTCGAGCATCACGGACCACGACCCGCGCAATCCGGCCTACATCGCGACGCAGGGCCCGCTCCCGCACACCGCCGCCGAATTTTGGCAGCTCATCTGGGAGCAAGGCGCCGTCGTCATAGTGATGCTCACCAGGTTGACCGAAGGCGGCGCCGCCATGTGTCATCGGTAAGTCAATTTGTTTTCTGTTTCCTTTTCCGAATTATTAGGATGCTTGTCTCATTGCAATTTTATCTTGTCATTTTATTTTATGTCGTCATTTTAGCTTATTATCATTACATACCGTACCTTCATTTGCAGGCTATACATAGGGAAAATACATTGTAGGTGGAACAGACAAGTCGAAGTCAGCGCGAAACGAAAATGTTCCCAGAAATTATTTTGACGAGTGGATGAGTAGACTAGCATGCGACGTAACAGGTGACCTTGTTTACTGGCGATTAAAATTTTATTAGGTCCTAATAATTTCTGAGAACTTTTTCGCTTTGCGCTGACTTGGACTTGTCTGGTCCACCTACAATGTATTTTCCCTATGTATAGCTTGCAAATGAAGGTACGGTATATCTTGTCATATTAGTAATTTAAGCATACTATAGCTTGTCGTGGTGTAACATCCTTTAAGCTCACCAAAATTTTATTCATATCATTCATAAGGCCGAGAGCATACTTATTAATTTCTCTTTTAGATATTGGCCTGAAGAAGGATCGGAGGTGTATCACATCTACGAGGTGCATTTGGTTAGCGAGCACATTTGGTGCGACGATTATTTGGTGAGGAGTTTCTATCTGAAGAACGTACGCACCGGCGAAACCAGAACCGTCACTCAGTTCCACTTTTTGTCGTGGCCTGAAACTGGAGTGCCCGCCTCCACCAAGGCTCTTCTGGAGTTTAGGTACAGCCTTTTATATATAGTATTTTTAAATTTCTTTTTAAATTTGTAAATCAAAACTGATGGACTTTGTTTCGATAGACGAAAAGTGAACAAATCGTACAGAGGAAGGTCGTGCCCGATAGTGGTTCACTGCAGCGACGGCGCAGGCCGTACCGGCACCTACTGTCTCATCGACATGGTGCTGTCGCGCATGCTCAAAGGCGCCAAGGAGATCGACATCGCGGCCACGCTCGAACACCTGCGCGACCAGAGACCCAGAATGGTCGCCACCAAGCAGCAGTTCGAGTTCGTACTGACAGCCGTCGCGGAAGAGGTAACAAAGTCGTTTTTTTACATTTTTTCCAGAAAAAAAGGTTTGGAGATTTTTATTTTGTTTTCACCAATAGGCAGACTGACTTACGAGGCATGTTTAGTTATACAGGGTCCGGCATCAGAATTTAACGGTTTTAAAAAGGCTGCTATGGAAATACTATTGATTTGGTATATGTCAAATAGTGACAGACTTATACCTTATTGCCGAAGGTTTCGTGTGCAATGTCAAACTGGCCGGTTAATCAACGGATCTTTGCTGTAAATTCGTTTACCCTGACCCAGTCCTTCGTATACAAACGCAGAGACGCTTTCGTCGTGAATATAATTTTCAAGTCCGAGCTGAAGTCCCATAAAAAAGCGATTTTGAGATGGGTAAGAGATTTTAATGAAAAAGGCAGTGTAAAATCAAAATTTGCCGCTGGAACTCGTACAGTTTGTACACAAGAAAATATTGGAAAAGTCAGAGAAGCGTTTGAGCGGCACTCGATTGCTCTAAACATTTTAGACCGAAGTTTGCGACGAATATTACATCTGGATTTAAAACTCCATCCAAAAAACCGACAGTCCAGAGGCTAAATCCCATTGATAAAGTCAATCGACTCAATTTCTGCACACAATTTTTAATTGCCATTCTACACGAAACTTTCTGCAATAAGGAACAAGTCTGTCACTATTTGACATATATTAAATCAATATGTAGTATTTCCATAGCAGCCACGAAACTTTTGGCAATAAGGTACAAGTCTGTCACTATTTGACATATATCAAATCAAGAGTATTTCCATAGCAGCATTTTTAAAACCGTTCAATTCTTTTGCCGGATCCTGTATTAACACCACTTGGTGTTGGATTTTGACACCATTTTAAGATTACTCTTTACACCACAGATATTTTAAACGGTGTATTAAAGCGATATGTTGTTTTAGGTGCACGCCATCCTGAAGGCTCTGCCCCCGCCAGCGAATCCCGCCCCCCCTCAGGAAAAGGAAAAATAATGACGAAACCCAGGCAAAAAACAAACGGGGAACAAGCGACACCCAGCCCTGTCGCGTGCTCCCTGGGTTTAAAAAACGGCTTAAGATTTTTTTTCACCACCCCAATACGCTTTTTATGGTACCTCAGTTTTTACGTACTACATATCTATGTTTTTGTCCAATCGCTTAGATATCACAAGAAAAGCATGATTATATAATGTACTGTTATTCTTAGTCATTGGATATATTATTCCCACGAGACAATGAAAAAAATCATATTATAGTCGATGTTTACTTTAAAAAACATATATTATTGTATAGTTGATTCTTAGCGTAGAAAAGCTCGGGAAATTGTTAACTCCCGCGCTTTTTTGCTCAATGAACGTACTACACTTATATCGCACATAATACCTAAAGTATGTGTACTATTTTTGTGTCCTATCTCTGTGTTATGTAATTGAGAATATTTAATTAATGTTGTTAATTTAGAAGGTTTAAGTCCTAAATAAAAAACATAATCTTCGGTCAATTGCTCGGATTTTGAAGGCTGTTTTGTGATTACATATGATTATTATTTTTTGACTTGACGGATTGGAAGAAGGCAAATATTAACATATTTGGAATCCAGCCTCCCGAAAATGTTAATATTTTAACGGGTTCGAGTTTAACCAAATCAAAAACGGTCTTTATTTTCTTAACCTAAAATTTATTGGAATGGAAAGTCACCCTTAATTTCATGACAAATCACATTTTTGCCATGAAATTAAGGACCAGCATGTTGTATTTAGTCTTAAGGAAAATATAATTACAAATGTTCTATGCTATATATTTATTAACTATAACTATATTTTGTCAAATCATAAGATAAACAATGTTAACGTATTAAAAATTAATATAAATGTACTGAATCTCCAATTTAGATTAGTCTAATAATGTAACCACGTGTATGTATACAGCATACTAGTTGTTATTTTTGTTTTTTTATCCCTTCCCAACACCGGTCAAAAATGAGTTTTTTATTACGACGCGTCGCGAAGGTTCAATAAGTTCTTACAAAATCAAAGATCTTACCCTAGTAGTACCAATTTGCTAATATTTTATATAAATTCTTCATTTTCTCTAAAAAAGGCAAATCTAGGAATATTGGGTCGAAAAGTAACTTAAAATATAACTTTATAAATTTTTAATACTTGGATTGCATGAATTGTGAAATAGTCAATAAAATTGATTAATTTTATACGAGGAATACCCAGAAACATTTAAATTATTTGAATTTGAAACGACCGCAATTTAAACTAATATTTATAGCTAGATGATTGGCTCAGAAGCATGCCTGAACTAATTTAGACTTACGATTGGCGTTAGCCTTGTTGTCTCGTTCTATTACAATGCGATATCATAGTTGTCTTCTTCTCTCGTATTAGCATAGGCGAGGCATGCACGCCTACATCCAAGGAAATAAGCAGGTGTTGTGGCAACACTGTTGCGGAATTTTAGATAAATTATACTTGACAAGTTTTTCAAAATTCAATAATAAATAGGTATTATTTTTCTTATTATTATCGATTTAATCGAAATTATATTTCTATTCTAAAATAAACATATTTTAACACTATCGCCATCTTGTAGCCATCACAGTAACCAATAAAATTAATACAGATTCCTTCTTTAGGTTTGTTTTGGTTATAAAATTCTGAACTGCTTAAGGAACAAATCTGTGGTTATTTACGAAATATTTTGTTTATTCTTTTTCTATGAGTTTGTCTATTTTATGATTCTTTTGTAAGTGGTTTATTCTGTGGGTTTAGTTAATTGAACTTCGTGATTTATGTGAATTAAGTCATTATGGATATTACGGTGAGAAATTGTACCGATATTTTTTACTTAGTTTTAAGTATAGGTTGTGAACTGCGACGTCAGTTTTTTTAAGTTGGGTTTAAAAAAATTTCTTCGCCTTTAAATGAGGGCGAAACCCTGTCTCTGCCTCACCAAAATGAAATGTCACGGGCCGCCACTGCCTCGAAGCAAACATGCCTTATCCACAATATTAAGTAATAAAGGACAAAATATTATTTTGTACTTGCCTGGTCACTGTTTCCAACAAAAATTATCAATCTGTCATTCTCGTCTAGAAGAGCCGGCAACACTGGATTTTGAATACGTGATTATCTAGGGATATTTGGTTTGATTTATTTGGTGACAATTGTATTAAGTTGTTTATTATATATATTTTTTTAATAATTAGACAAATATTCTACCTACTATGGTTTTCTTCTATTTGTTTTCTTCTCTTCTCTTTAGACTTTAGACAAGTTTTCTGTTACTTTATACTGTTTACTTTATAAAAAGTTCCCATACCTTTTTTAATATTTTTTTTTTGTATTGGACTTCATTTGTTTTCACAACTTATTTTTAGCTTTTAAATAACACTGCATATAGAACTATCACTGCCACTGTCAAAAGCGAAAAGAGTTATCATAAAAAGCAACTATCAACAACTCGCAATTTGGTCACATTTCAATACTATTTTTTACGTTTTTACGTCAACTTCTTGTGTTACAGTCCAGGGAGTCACCAAATAAGTTATCATCATTTAAGAGAATAATAGTACACGCCAAAATAAGAAAGGGTTTCCTCTATCATTTTTGCAATAAAAATGTAGAAATTTTGAAACGCCACTGGTTGTTCCTGACCTATGACAACTGTCGAAAAATATGCTTGCACAGTGAGCAATAAAAATTTACATTTGTACATCATTGATTACTTTGTTGATAATTTTTTTTTTTGCATACTTAGCTTTTTTTAGGTACTTTAAATAAAACTATACTTACTTTTTATTGTTAAGTATCTCGAGGTTTTCGTGGTTTTCCCGTCGATTTTAAATTTCACCTTTCACTTTTTACGCCGATTGATGCTCATGTAGCTATTTTTTTTAAGTGTTCCACAAAAGTTTAAAATAAAATGACAAAATTAATTTTTATTTTGGCCAGCAAGAGGAAAACTGCGGAAAAAATATGACACGCCAATTTGTGTTTGTCTGTGTATTCTTGTAATTGTAATAAAAAAAATACTCAGATAGACAATGATAGAAAATGTCAAAAATGGCAGATGTTTCGGATGATTGACTACAAAATTTAAAAATAAAAAACAAAATTGGCTAGGTAATTGAAAACTGGCCTTGCATTAAACCAGGTAATTGAAAAATGCACATTATCAGTTAAATAAATACGAAACACGAATTTAAAAATTTTGTCCAAAAGAAGTGTGGTCTACGAGAACATGATTTTTTAATGCAGTTGGTGTAAGATTTGAAGTGCAACGGCTTATTGTCAGTGCTTCAGGACGGATGGTGGCTTTATCTCCATTCGTATGGTGTTTTCTATGGGGCACTGTAAGCACCCGTCTCGGGCGCCGCGAGAGAGGAGCAAGCAACGCCGAAGAGGAGAGCAAATCTGCAGCGCGGATGTGCGCGGGTGCGTGAAACGCGGCCCAGTCTCTATCTCTCCTATCCTCTACCTACTCTCTTGGAAACAGTCGAAAATCAACACACCCCAGTCGAACTCTCCTGCGTGCGTGCAACGCGAACGACGCGATCTTGATCTCGATTATTTTTGTTGTCGCATCGAGTTAACGCATACGCCAAACCGATATTTTAAAGTTTATTGTTATCTTCGTTAGCATAAGTGAGAGAGGTAAGTCACTTACAGGACGCACTTTTCACGTTCTTTTGTTATGCGGTGCACCTATCAACGCGCTTTGCTTTGTACGCATTTTATTAACTAATTTGAATAACATCCTATGGTAAAAATCTTATCTTCATTTTTATTCAACGTCGCCTTTATTAAATTACTGGTAAACGCAAACAAAAAATTTAATCAAAAACAAGCGTAAACGTTTAGAAAAAAGTCCCGGTCCATTTCAATGTTTTAATGAGCTCTTTTACACGTCTCTCTAGCGTTGAAAAGAGGCTTTGTTATTTTTTTTTTTTGAAAGAAAGTAGGTCAGATTTGTAAATTAAGGCGCTATAGGCGTCTGTATTATAAAATATAAAAAACACGTAAAAAATCTGCAAAACCAATAAAAACCGGTTAGATCCCTAAAACATAAATAAGTTTTACCAATAATAAACCTATTAAATAAAAATGTTATAGTTAAGTACTTTTAACTATTAATTTTATAAATAAACTTTTTTATTTTATTTGATTTTAAAAATATTTTTTATTTAAAAATTTGCGGGTTTTTTAAGTGTCATCAACTAAGAAATAATTAAATCCAACTATTTCTTCTAAAATGGCTTAAATATGCCGGGCCATATTGCTAAAAACATGTTTTTGTTAAATTGGATCATAATAAACAACTTTCAGGACTCACATTGGCCTCACGTGGCCTACTTAACAAAGCTTATAAAATTAAAATTAAAAAGTAGGTACCATTTTATTAGTTTTACACGAAAATTTACCAGGGGACTGTTGAATGTCGTTGGCAATATCTCTCGGAAAATTGGCTATGTACTAATGAACACAAAAACACTTAAAAAATTAGCACATAATTTGTAAAACTTTTGATCAAACCTCGTAATCATCATCACCGGATGAGAAAATAATACATACTTTCACAAAGTGTGGAAGCATAAGCGAAATAACCAGTGTGGTGGCGACATCTGTACAGATCTAAAACGTTGTTAAATAATAAACACGTGTTTATTATTTAACAACGTTTTAGATGCAACCTCACCACAAGTACTCAAGAATCGGCAGTAAAGTAGAACCTTACCGCCGATTTAATACGAGTAAATATTGTATGCAACCCATTATACATTTTAAGATGTGTCTACTGCTCCTCAGCAGCAACTAAATAATATTTTAAAAAAAGCATGGTCGCGGAGGTCAATTGGACCCTTTTATAAAATGTTGTTTAATAAAAATAATAGGTTAATTTTATTAATTAAATTAAAAAATCGCCGCGGCAGCAAATATATCATAACCGTCGCGACGCGTCGCAACAAACAGTATACGTATTACGTAGACACTTCCTACATTCAAATGACATTTGATTTGATCATGATTATTTCCCTCGTTATAATATGAACCAATCAAAAGCCTTGAATTTTCGAATAAATTTCGTTTAAATAAGCGATTAAATCACTAGAACTATTTAACAGCGATTACATTTTAGCCTCCATATTGGATTTTTGTTTACGATTTTATGGTGTTATTTACAAGTTTTAACAAACATTTTTTAAAAAACAATAAAAAATAAGTTATCTAGTTTACGAAATATCAATTATTACTTATTACATACCTTAAATTAATGGAATTTTCTTTAAAAGAATATTTATAAATTTTGACACATACGTCAGATTTTATGAATTGTCAAATAGTTTCCTTTAATTCGAGAAATAATCTAGACGTATATCCATGGAGCCTACACAAGGAGCCCGAACTTAATAGGGAAAATTGACAAAACCTGTCCACTAAATTGCACAATTTAAGTCTTTTTTTTTCACCACCAGCGGCGCTGCTTGTTAATGCGTCCGAATGACATGAAAATAGTATCGAAAATACATGTGAAGTAAGCAAGTAAGTTTTGACAATTGATTTGCAATAATGTTTTGACGTACGAATCGTTTTGTTATTTATGGCTGTACCTGGTAGGTAGATGCTAATGAAAAGGTTTTGGTTGTGAAATATAAGTGATTCTTTATAATCTGTGAAGTGAACCAGGTACATGGGTACATTGTTTTCAGAAAGTGATAAACTGACAGTTGCATAACCTCAATTATTTGCACAATAATAAGTGGTAGGTAGTGGCGCCATCTCTGGTTATACCCCTCTACTGTTTTGGACCGGTAGTACACCAGCGCCCTCTTATCTTAGGAAGATTCTTATTTACATGAAGTTCGGGCTCCTTGTGTAGGCTCCATGCGTATATCACTCAACCTATAAATTTAATCTGTCAAACTATGCTCAGTAAGATTTTTATTTGATTTTTCTTTTTGGAAAATAGTTTCATGCAAAATAATTAAAAACAAAACCCCTCGACCTCTACGCGGTCTCGTGATTTTATTAAATTATTTTGCATTCAACATTTTCCAACAAAAACCAAACAAAAAACTACTGAGCCTAGTTTAACCGATTAAATTCATAGTTCTCGTGATATAATATATGAATATTAATTATTAGCGATTTCGGATAAAATTTAATATGCACCTCGGCATTAAAGTCAATTTTTATCACTCACATTCATGATAAAAAATACGACTTTTCTGCCTTGATAGGTACCTACATAAATAAATATTCTATCGTACCTATTTTTCGGAAACAAAAAAAAATATATTCTGTATTTCAAACGTGTATAATATTCTGCACAATAAAAACAGTTACTATCCCTAATATTTAAAAAGAACAGTTCAAAAGTTGCCAATTTGACGTGAAATGCCCCATACTTAAATACAAAGCACCAAAAAAACAGGAATTACCTACCTACCTTAAAAAAATCTGTGAAATCCCATGTCCTATACACAAATAAACCAAGAATGAGGGGTAAACCATATACACAAGGTAATTAATACTAAAGGAATCTAGATTCTAGATTCTAGAATTTTCTTAAAAAATCAAATGAAAAACGCCATGTAAACAAATCGCGCATTTCACTGCCGCCAACATAACATTTTTTGCATTCAAAATTAGTGAATCTATTTTGTATAAAATAGGTTATTATAAATCCTGTAAAACTAAATATATATTTACCACTAAAACAAGTTAATTTGCACTTTAAGCAACCGGCAAAATCGACGAACTGTCAATAAAAACAAAAAAAATTAAAATATTTTTAGCAATGCTGCCAACATAATCATGGTTATGATTTAAATTTGGTGCGTTGTAAAAGTTCGTTGCACTTACGTTTGAATTTATTCGCATTTTTGAAACGACGATGAGTAAAAACTTGTCTAAAACTTGTACGTGAGAGCTTTAAATGTTTCGGACATCTGCGATAATCCAGAAATGATCGATGTTGTTTTAGTGTCGTTTTACAAGCGTTTATTGAAATCATATTAGCCGGGAGTTTGGAGAACTGTTTAATATCATTTAGAATCGAAGAAATAACAGGTCAGTGTTTTTTATACATGATTTAATAATTAATAGTGAAAATGCTCAAACAATACAATAATATTTAAAACAAATTAAAATTATTATTTATTTCGTTATAAAATTAGGGAAGTAAAAATGCATATTGCCAACTTAAGAAAACTTGCATGGCACTCTTATTTTATTTGCAAAATCAATTAATTCTGTGCCGTTAAATTAAATTATCTCGAACTAAGAAAGTTGTTAGTTGTTGAAGTGCTCGTTAAGGGCACTAAAAGCTACAAGCGACTATTAGGAGGAAACGGGCTATGCAAAAACATGTTATGCCACAAATAAGGGTCTAATGGAAAATGTGTTATTAATTTTTATGGGGTGGCATGTCGCAAGGTTGACCTACAGTTTAATTTTGTTTGTTGAGTACCTACTATAATTTATTTGGAATTTTTATTTTTGAAAAAAAACGTATCAAAGAGTGACTTTTTAAATCTTTTAGACATTCTTTCCATTTCCATTTTTAACGACTTCAGAAAAACAAAATAAAATATTTCCAGATGTTTGACGGTTTTCTGCAAAACAATAAAACATCACGAAGGGTGGCCTATATAATTGATGGTTTTGTTATTGTTTTTTTTTAACTAGAACTGACAGAAGCCCAAATTGAATCACACATTCTGGCCAATATAAAGAATGATGTCAGACGGAAAATAAAAATATCGCTGTATTAAGTGCGGTAAAATTAAATTGACAGATTTTTTTTCAAATCACAAAAAAAATTAAAATAAAAATAACAAGTTTGCTTTAAAAAATCGTAGGTATGCAAACTTTTTTCATGTAATTTTTAAGATGCATTCAAATTTCTCAAATTGCATTCGAAAAGTAAATGCTCGGTGCGAAAACAATTCGCAACGTTTCGAGGCAGTGTTGCCGCATATATCCCGGGCAAGGGCCACACCCTCATTCTCCTGCGGGACCCAACATGCAGCAGGATCTTTTATCTTCTCTTCCCAATACTTAAACGGCCGTTCAGCAGGAGTGTTCCCAGAAATTTTCTGCAGGATTTATTAGATTAGGTTTTTGGATTTTAGTTTTTTAAATCGTTCAAAATAATTAAACATATAAACAATTTGGTAAAAAATGCAAAATCAATTACCAAAAAAATTAGGCCTGAATATGATTTGACTTTCTTTGTTAGGAATTCATTATTCTATACAGGAACACGAACATAAACAAGCTTTGAGAAAATAAAAATAAACAAACAATTGTTCGGTTCCAAAATTAGACTAATGTCAATGGCAATGTCCTCTTGAACTTTGGCAAATATGTAATCCATCTGGTACTCTGGATGAACGTGCTAAATATAGAATTTCTTTATTAAAAGACTCTCTGTTATGAATTATGAGAAGATTTTTATTTGAGACAGGATATTACATGCTCCTATTATCGGCATCATGAACTATAATTATGATCTAGTTTTTTAATTACCGTCACAGTCAAAATAAGCAAAAAATAAATTGTTTATCTATTTTGCGTTTATAATGACTTCATTATAACACCGCTTTCGGTGCAGTAATGAGATACTTTTTCCCACCCAAAAGTTTGATTTTATAGGTTGTCTATACTTTAAACAGCATAATATTTTGCGTATTGGTTATGTTTTTATGATTTTTCTAGTACTTACGAGACTTTTCTGTCAATAAATTTTGTTTAACACCAAAGAAAATCCTTTTTTTCTTTTTTAACATTAATAGCCGCTTATTGTAAATAAGTAAATTAAGGACGGCATGGCAAATCGATTTTGTTTAAGTAAATAACAAGTTTCCAATTTTAATAGATATTTCTATTTGTAATTTATATTAATTACCTACTTAAGTTTAAGTTTGATAATTATAAACTATAAATTAATAAAACAAATTCAGACATAAAAAGTCCTAAATTTAATTTAATGCTATTAAAAAAAATGAACTAAAACTCGCAAAATGCATTTAATGACAGAAAAATGTAAAGGTAAAGCTAGTTACTTAATGATAAATTAATCGAAGCGTGAAATATTAAAAATTTAACGGGTCAACAAATGGCTCTCTAAAAGTTAAAGGTTTTCCAATAGAAAATTTTAGTATAGAAAAGTTCTATTGAAAATAAGTCTACCATTAACAGGGGACCACTGACCTTACTAAATTTAATAAATATATTTATTTCATAAATCTTATTAGTTTTATTATTAAATATGATTTTTTGAACTTTCAAATAAAAGAAATATTTTTTTCTAAAACAGTATACATACAAAATTTTAAAAAATGCTATTTCACAGTGTATGGCTTAAAAAATTGTAATTTTTTTATGATTTATTTGATATATTTTTTTGACAAGTATTATTTTTATATACTTTTATATTAAATGGCCTATTTTCAGGAACAAAAACAAAATTTGAAATATATGTTCGATTTTTCTTCTGTATACGATTTTTCGGTTGAACACCCCCGTTTGTAGTAAACTGCTTGACTGTACTGTGAAATTAAGTACGTGATCGAATTTTATCCGGAAAACGCTGAGCGTAGATATTATCATCAAGATTCCTGCCTGCTTCTCCACAAATCAAAATCATTTCTATTTTTTCTTCCACTGTTAAAAAATCCATTATGAATAACTGCTTAACGAAAGGAGGTATTTTTGTTTGCAAATTAATCTTCTAACTAAATTGATTAAATAATGCTAAACTTTATACCTCAATAATAATTATTATTTATAACTAAATACCACTTTTTATACCCCAATTAGGATTAAGTTAATTAATTGACAAAATTATGTTTTTTACCTTAAATTTTCAAGTTAAATATATTTATTTCTTTAATTTAAACTAAATTCAAACTAAAAACTAACATTAAATGGGGGCTACATAAGTCACAGGATATAATTGGAATTTAATATCACTGCATGGTGTTCCAGTTGTGGTGTTAAATTATTGAGCATGCTTTTGTAGCCGGAGCTGGTAAATAATTAGGATATACCGGTTTACGGTCTTAGGGTCAGATTACTTTTATGGAGCTAGCGTTGAAAAAGCTCCATTTTATTTCGCATTGGTGCAATTGTGCTTTTGTATTGTTAATTTACTGCAAAAGGTCCCTGTAATTTAGGGATGCCTTACTTTATAGAGGGTAAAATTGTAAAATATTATCTTGTTTTGCTCGCCAGCGTTAATCGTCTTCTTAAGTCAGCTAAGTACAAAACTTTTGACATCCCCATAGGAAGAAGTATAATGACGTCAGATCAGGGGTTCCTGCTGGCCATTACTGTCAAAAAATTGCTTAAAGGAACAGTTGTCTGAAATTGTCTCATGTGAAATTAGCTATTTTACTTTTATTACTGTTTTCATGATGAATAAGTCAAGCATTAAAAGATTTCTAATAAATTCACATAAACATACTAATTTCTATTTCTTTACTATTATGTTGATATTTAAAATACTACAATGTACTTATCGTAATTAACAGTGTATATAAATGTTTCATAATACTAAAATAATAAATAATTATTAATGTTTTACCCAACATACACTTCAATAAGTAATATTACAGTAATTAACTAAAATAATACATTTTATATATGTCCTTACCTATTTGACAATGCTAAAGGATATTGGCATAATATTGTACCTAATTATTGATATCTTTCACAATTTTAAATACTATTAAATAAATGCCCAAAAAGTAATTTCCTGTGCTATGCACCTTTAGCCTTATAAAAAGGCTATTATTAAGTGAAAAATGTGCCAAGAAAATGTGTGTAAAGGGGATAAATGGCAAAAATATCGCTTGCTCGAAGCGATAACTGAAATGTGCAATAAAAATACAAATAAATAATGATTTCTTGTCAAAATAATGCTATATACAAATGTTGGCCTTTAACATTGGTGACAACGTTTATTAAAAATCTTGACTTTTCTGGGGTAATTTCTATACCTTTTTTTCGATATGCAGACATTCAAATTCCTATATACATATACGAGGTGTGTTCAGAAAATATCGGGAATTTTTGGTTTTTTGAAACAAATATTTATTTATTCGTCTACATTAATGTTGTCACCTTCAAAATAGTCCCCATTGGATATTATGCACATGTGCCAGCTCTTCTTCCAATACTCGAAACACTTCTAAAACTCGATCTTTGGGATAGCCTTTAGTTCTTTCAGCGATGCGCTTTAATGTCATCTATGCTTGCAAAACGACGGCCCTTTTAGGTTCTCTTTATTTTTGGGAATAGGAAAAAGTCAGAGAGAGGCATGTCTGGCGAATATGGAGGCTGGGGCATCATTACAGTATTGTTTTTGGACAAAAATTTTGTTCAAAATTCAACAATTTTAGAACAAATTTTGCTGCCACGCGTTTCATACCCAAAACATTCGAAAAAATTTCATGGGATGAGCCAATCGATATACCAACATTATAAGCGACTTATCTGATGGTTTATAACCATTTATTCCACTTTTTCCATGTTTTTATCGGTTGTTAATGTGCTTGTGCGTTCGGGGCGTTTGTCATCTTCAACGTCTTCACGGCCATCTTGGAAACTCTTATACCGCTTGTAAACTCTTGTTTTACTTATAGCAGACTCACTATAGGCCTTTGTTAACATTTCACAGAATTTATTTCATTTTTTAAGCAAAATTGGATACAAATTATTTGATCCATTTCTTTTATCGAACGAAAAATCGCCGAGCTCATAAAACACGTTTAACCTTAGCGGTTGCCACAGACAAATTAAACAATGAAAACAGGTAAAGTTTTTATCATACTTCGGGGGCATGTATACCAACATAATAAAGAAAATTTTATGACAACCGGACCCTCCGAACCCGCGAAATTTAACAATTCCCGTTATTTTCTGAACACACCTCGTACATTCAACTAAAATGACTGCTGTATACAAATAGTAACATTTTTAATAGTATTAATTTAAAATATTTAGCATATAAATAAATTTATACGTGTTTTGCTTTATTTTCTAGATAATGATAATGAGAAAAATGGTTAATAAGTTGGAATTTCTTTTATAGAAAGTAAAATCTTAGTATGCATAAAATCATACTCTCGTAATAATGCTTTACTTTTATTCCCATAAAATAATAATGTATGTAAAACAATTTCTATGGGTTCTAAGAAAAATATACAAGCAAAGCAATAATATTTTACAGTTTATTTGACTTTAAGAAATTTAGTATAACAAATATTATATAAAACTATACATGGTCTCTTAATGGCGTGTTTAACCTCACTTTTTAGGTATTTCTTTTTAACTTTTTAATTCATCCTTATTCACCAGTAACAGATTACAAATACAGCGAAATGTATGAAGGACGATTTATGATTTATGTGTTTATTTTCTTTATAATATGTTTATTTAATTTATTATATTTGCCAAATAAATTTGTAATAATTGTACCTATGCTTTTATTTGTCATTAGTACATGCTTTTTGATAAAATTTATAATAAATTAAACATTAAACATACAAATATGTACCTACATTTGTAATAATTGCATACTTTTTTGTCGCAAAAGCGTCATTTATTACTTATTTGTACAATTTTATTTTGTTTGCTTATATTAGTCTTATTTTTTACTATAGGTTGTAATGCGATTTTTCAAGTGCAAATAAAATCTAATTTAATCTTTTTTATAGTGCATTTATTTTTTCATCATAAAAACTGCGCGCTTCTCCACAAATAAACTAAAACTTTTACTTTTTTTACAGGCATGGCCATGCATCCAGTCCAGCGCAGTCAATTGTTACGCGCGAACCACTAAGATCATCGTGTTAAAAAAATCGCGGGAATTTCAGTGAGTGCGGTAAAAAATTTATTTGAGAAACAGTGAAAACAGTGATTAAAAAAATGGATAGCAATTCAGTGTCTCCAATGCCGGAATTGGCGCCCATAGCGGAGTTCGACAAAACTCCCCCTACCCCCCCGGAGGATACGCTCCCCATGGATGATCTCCCGCCTCCCCCTACAGCTGTCACTATCGCGGAGGAGAAGGAAAAAGAGGCGTAAGTCGCTTTTTATTTTTTTGTTTTAGTTTGTGTCCAAGTCTTATTTTTGATTTTTGCTTGAAATTGTTTTTTTCTGTTCGTAATAACATACAAAAATAGAAATAAAAATATTTTTGAAAAAATTCAATATTTTACCTAAAGTTTTGTAAAGGTACTATGCAATTTTGTAGGCATTTTGTTAATTTCAAAGGTTCGTTAAAAAAATAATATTCTATGACATCTAAATAATGTTTGCAACGATCAGATAAATATCTTGTAAAACAGAAATGAACATAAATAGAGAACAAGTTGTTTTTAAAATTTTGTAAAAAAAATCCATCACCTGGTAATTTTGCTGTCGAGTGTATAATCATAGAAGCATGTCAAAATGTATTTTTTATAGTCATTAATATTCATTTTAAGGCTCTTCATACTGTTTTATTACTCTTAAAAGTTTTGGAATTGCCTAAGGGTGTTAACATCGATCTGGGTGCTTTACCACACGCATTAAAGTTGTGTTCTATAAAATTTGTACCACTTACATATCTATCTAGACGTGGTAATTGCGTGGTGCCTATGTACGAGGTGTGTTCAGAAAATATCGGGAATTTTCGTTTTTTGAAACAAGTATTTATTTATTCTACATTAATGTTGTCGCCTTCAAAATAGTCCCCATTGGATATTATGCACTTGTGCCAGCTCTTCTTCTAATACTCGAAACACTTCTAAAACTCGATCTTTGGGATAGCCTTTAGTTCTTTCAGCGATGCACTTTTAATGTCATCTATGCTTGCAAAACGACGGCCCTTTAAGGTTCTCTTTATTTTTGGGAATAGGAAAAAGTCAGACAGAGGCATGTCTGGCGAGTATGGGGCTGGGGCATCATTACAGTATTGTTTTTGGCCAACAATTTTGTTCAAAATTTAACAATTTTGGAACAAATTTTGCTGCCACGCGTTTCATACCCAAAACATTCGAAAAAATTTCATGGGAGCCAATCGATATACCAACATCATGAGCGACTTCTCTGATGGTTTATAACCATTTCTTCCACTTTTTCCATGTTTTTATCGGTTGTTAATGTGCTTGTGCGTTCGGGGCGTTCGTCATCTTCAACGTCTTCACGGCCATCTTGGAAACTCTTATACCACTTGTAAACTCTTGTTTTACTTATAGCAGACTCACTATAGGCCTTTGTTAACATTTCACAGAATTTATTTCATTTTTTATGCAAAATTAGATACAAATTCTTTGATCCATTTCTTTTAACGAACGAAAAATCGCCGAGCTCATAAAACACGTCTAACCTTAGCGGCTGCCACAGACAAAGTAAACAATGAAAACAGCTAAAGTTTTTATCATACTTCGGGGGCATGTATACCAACATAACCGGACCCTCCGAACCCGCGAAATTTAACAATTCCCGTTATTTTCTGAACACACCTCGTATAGCCCAATATATTTACGAATCTGGGTTGTGGTAATAAATATAACCTATTTATATTAAGGGTATAAGAAACCCGGTTTTCTACATTCTATTAATAGTTTTAACATCGACAATATCAAGATTAATTTTTAAGTGAGTTCAGTAGAACATGATATTAATATTTGATGGAAAAACGTTAACCTAATATTTCAAACGTTTCACAATGGTTAATTAATAAATTTTAAATAATAAACACAAGTTTAATTTACTTGATGTTTTTTGCATGTAAATAAGCTTATCCAATGGATAATATCCATGTCGTTAAAACGAAAACCAATTTTACTAATGTTATGCATATTTTACCATTTAGTAGTTTTCACCTACAAAGGTAATGCCAACACGCGATTGTATTCCCTGTTGTCAAATAAAATTGTAATTAAAAAATTAAAGATAATACAATTTTTCCAATTATCGGCACCTTAAATAAAAACAGGGTATTTCCACGAAACCTTACCCTACACCTTGACAAAAAATCAGATGTGTTATTTAACAAAATAACAACTATATCTGAAGTCAAATAGTTTAATTGCGATGTAATTTATAACCTTAAAATATTCGTACATTGTGATGCTAAGAAGCTAACATTAAGAATAAACACGGAAGAGTTTCAATACTCGATAAAATTTTCAAATTTCGCACCCGTTACATTTTGAGAAAATTTTAGAAAATAAAGTATACAATATGTGTGCTTTTAAAATACGTGATTGTTTAAGGTTACTATTCAAGTTTTACACAGAAAAATATTACTATATGCTTTCATCCAAAATTTTACAGTAGCATTTTCTAAGGTCGCGCCCGTTACGCTATTCATGACGTTATAAAAGGTTTTCCATACAATTTTTTATTGACATTTTGTTTGAGTTAAATACCTAATTTTTTATACTATTTTTTTTATATTAAAGTACCTTGATATATATGAACAAACACTTTATTATCATGAAAAAACGCAGTTTTAGTGTCGCACCCGTTACAATGGAAAAAACTCAACATGCAAATTTTTTAACTTTTAATTTTATTTTAACACATTATTATTTTCTTAAATTTTAGGACATTATCCTAGCTACAAAAGCAAACTTTTTATGAAATATATTGGTTTTTTTCATTAATTTTTTCATTCGTATTGACTTGTGTTATTTATAAACTTAAAATCCAATTAATAAATATTTGTTTTGGTTTTCCGATAATTTTAATCAAAGAAAACCCAGACCAGGTAATCTAACAGCATGATAAATAGTAAATAACCACAGGTGTAACCTACATATTTTCGGGAGCACTCTAATTAAAACAAACAACAACCCGTAGGGTTTTAGATTGTTTATTGGGCGAGAAACAAAGCTATATATTTCTTTATGCCCAGCCTTTGTATAATTAGGTTTGACTAATTAATGGTCGGCACTGGAATCAATATTTTGTCGCATTTGAAGGCAATTTATCAATAATGTCTTAATAAAAGATTTATACTTAAATGGGTTAATTAATTTTGCCTCGTATCCAGTCGTTTTTTTCTGATTTTACCATTAATATTTTACCATATTGTATGTAAAATTAGAATAATTTATAAGATCATTTGAAAGAATTTTTTGACTAATTCTTAGGTTCACGACCTTTACCTTGAATAATGACAACAAACCTCAAAAAATCGATTTTACCAAAACATAAGCAATTAGTAAAAACTCGCATGTCAAACAATATTTGACGATTTATCTACTTTCCCCTTCATTGAAAAAATAAAAATTACACATTTTCCCCCAATTACACATTACATTTTCCATATCCATGACTACAAAAAGCCACGGTCCGTTGATACATAAAAGAATAAAGCAAATCTACAAAGTAAACATTAGTAGTGTAGCTAGAAAGCCGGAAAGTGTTAATTCAGAAAGCCATGTGTTTTGGATTGTAAGTACCTAAAAATATAAAAAATGTATTAAATTTATTTGTATGTATTTATTATTTATTTTTAAGATCTTTTTCTTTTTAAGAAATCATTAGATAAAGTTTAAAAGTTAATTTTGAGTATCATACATTTTAGCTTTTTGAAAAATAATATCATAACATAATGGCATAAACCACAAACAGGGGTAAATTTTTTGCAGGAAGTATATATATATATATATATATATATATATATATCTATATCAAAGGGGATGAAGCCAATCACTGGCTTAATTGGAGCAATCAGGAGGGTTTATAGAAATACTGGGGGATTAAAATGAAGTTAAAGTGGCAATTAGAGTTTAAGTGGGAGTGAAAGAAACGCGCTGTCAGGTTAGTTGGCGACAAGTATCGTTATTAAGAATCATTTAAGAAAATATTCTTAAATTTTAGTTTTTAAGTTGTTTTTTAAACTGAGTTTAATAAATAAGTAATATTTTTTTACTAAATAATGAATGTGTGATCCCGGCGCATTCGTCATTTTGAAGAATAAAATAAATAAAAAAATGTCTACTCCCACCTTTAAAACGCCCTTTATCGTACATGTTTCCATGACACTAAGTGACCTTTTAAATACACATTGACAAGTTGTGGCTTTATCGCGCTTTAGACACGGGCTGAAGTTAGCAACAGGTTTTTAGTCACGGGATGAAGTTAGTTTTAACTAAGTTGACAGTTGTCAAATGTCATACAATCGTTCAAATAAAGTGCCTTTCTTGTAAAATAATATTAAATGTAAAAATTATTTTATTATCCCAATACAAAAAAACAAAAGTATTAAATATATAGTTTCTCAACGCCAATATTTGAAAAGTTTATATGAGCATTGTACTGACCTTTTAATTTCGCCGGCAGTAAACTAAACTTAAATTCGGGCACGGACTCCACTGTAATGTGCTCATACAACATTTTCTTTACTTTCACCGTGAAAAACTGTTAATTTTCAAGAAGTACATTTCGATTTATAATCTTTATCATCTGTGTTTATAAAATATAAAAAATTGACATTTGACGGTGACACACAGATTCCCCTATTGTTTCATAGATGGCGCTCTATACAAATTTTTGATTTAAATCATTTTAAGATAATAATAAGTATTTGTCGTCGAAAAAGTATAGTATGCACCTTAGTGTGTTTCATTTAAAACGATCATTTTTTTTTCTTGCTGACACATAAAAATTTTGTTTTCTTACTACCTCGACTCAAAATACGTTGTTTCGTCCCCGATTCCACGGCAGAAAGTTTACGTTTTATGCATTGGTCAAGCTATACGCGCACACTCTAATAGCGGGAGTAAAAATTTTTTAGTCGTGTGCTTAACATTCAAATTTTGTACTGCCAACATGAGAAACACAAAAATATGACAGTTTTAAACCATAATTTTGCAATTATAACAACAAATAAACAATTTATGTTTTTACTTTTTTACTTTTTATGTTGTTTTAAGTGTTTAATGGTACTTTTATTTGTTATAAAGTAGTAATTTGTTAATTAAAACTGTATTGGCACCGCTGAATTCACGGCCTACTGTTATTTATTTATCAAGCTCTTCAAATGGAGATAGGTACATAAATACACATTTAATTTTTTTCCGTA